ATTAAATTATATCAATTTTAGGCTGGTTCCGTTTGTCATATCAAAAATAGTTATTTAGGTCGAAATGACTAGAATCTGGGATATAACAAAGTTATAACCTGGAACCCAAATAGTACCTATGAAATAAAAAAATAAAAATGTACATTATGGCTATGTCCTCATAAAAGCTTTAACAAGATGTAAACAAACAATAGCATCATGTTAATTGTGTTTTTAATTGTAATTATATGGCTGAAAATTAATTAACTTTCATGTTTTTGAAGAACCTTGGTTCTAAGTTAAATTATGGACAGTTCAATGTCATTCGTGACTATTTTTTGTTGAAGGAGTAAATTTGTTTTGGTAATTGATAGTAAATCAAGTATTTAAATTTAATATTTTACTAATTTAATTTAATTTTCTTACAAACGGGTTTAATGGTTTAACAAAGGAAGGTTCTACCCTTTTCTCGACGAAATTCGGCTTTTTGGAGTACAATGTGCCTCCCTATTTTTTTTTTCAGATTCAGAACATTAAGAATTACTTTTGAAAAATGCAAGGTTTAAAACACTTAGATAACCTTGATTGGCGTAACATTCGAATAAAATACATAAGAAATTAAAATACGAACTTAACCAATTTCGACACGTTACTTGTTAAAAAACATATATAATAAAGTCTTAAAATTATGTTTTAAATTTGATATTCGCACCTCTAGTATGTACAGGGTAATCCCCTATAATGTCGCCCCCCTTAAACTTTTTATTTTAAGTGTCCCAAAAAATTTAAAAGTGTGGTTTTGTAGGTACTAAAAAATACTCTTTTTCTACTTATAAAAAAAAATTAAAATTGATCAATATACAGGGAAAACAAAAAGTTTATTTTTTTCAATGGATCACCCTATATATAAATTTATTTTTATTAAATGTTAGAAATCAAGAAGCCTCAGTATGCCAAAATTTTTATTGAAAATAAATTACTATAGTGACATTATGGCAATATGTCTAGTTAAATAAGTAAAAATAGCGTACTTAGACAGAGAAAGACCAACTATTTCAACTTATTATCTTAAAAATAATTTGTATGTTATATGAAATATGCTTAGAATTTTACAAGGAATCGAAAAATAAATACATATATAGGGTGATCCATTGAAAAAAAATAACCTTTTTGTTTTCCCTGTATACTGAACAATTTTCCAATTTTCTTTATAAATAGAAAAATAGTATTTTTTAGTACCTACATAACCACACTTTTAAATTTCTTGGGACAATTAAAATAAAAAAGTTAAAAGGGGGCGACATTATAGGGGATTACCCTGTACCTAATAGCGATTTTCAAACAATTTAAATAATTTTTAAGAATATGAACATAACCTAACTAACTACTGTACATAATTCATTGTTTACTTAAAATACTTCATTCTTAAGTCTTGACAAGCCTGTTATTCCTCTTACACGTCAAGCTATAGCTTTTATACTGAGAGAGTTTATCGATTTTTCAAGTCATTTTTTACATAAAATTAATAGCAAAAATTCTTTGACAATCATCATCTTTTATTACATACTTTTTTTATTTAGTTTAAATTTACTTAAAAGACAAAGGTTCCAAAATTTAATTTAAACAATTTAAACTTACCAGTTTAATTTTGTACACTTTTCTTCCAAATTAACAAATTAAATTAACGCATTAAAACATTAACGCATTTTTTTCCCATTCCAATGCCGATTGCACATCTTACTCGTTCTTTAGTTTAAAAGCTAATGCAATAATTAACTACCTATCAATTTAAGCGCGGCAAAACTAGTCAGGTATTGATCAATGCTTTTATCTTTATTGTATGGTATTTTTCATGGGCGAGAAATTGTCTAGTTATTCCTAATATTTTACATAAACAAATCAAATTTAAAACAGTTATAACTTGGAAAGAGAAATTTCGTGTTTTAAAATTTAAAATATTCAAATTAGTTACCATAGGTTTGAATCAAATACACGCATGTCTGCTTATTGATATATTATAATAAGTTAATATTAATACAAATATTTTTAAGGCAGGTCTATAATATCGCATATCGCACTTTTTAATTATTATAGTTATCAGTGTTTTGTATTATTTACTGAAAAGGTTAAAAATATATAACCTTCATAAATTTACCCATGCGGAATTTTTGATTCCAATAACAATTCTCAAAGAGGTGACTTAACACAAGTTATTCATACCAAACAGCTAGTTAAATTTTAACTTATCAGTAGATGTAACATGAGTAACAATGTTTTGTAACAAGAACTTCAAACTTTCCTCGTAAGGTTACTTTAAAATAGCCTTTTATAGCGTCGAAAAAAAAAAGTCAAATTGGAGGAAAGGAAGGTTTTCCGTTTTCCCCCTTTCCTTAAAACGATTGGCTTTTTTGAAAAAAAAAATGAATTTTTTTGAAAAATATAAAAATATACATACAAAAGAAGCATTTTTTATGTTATTTATGAATAAATGCTTTATTTTTACTTAGTAAGGCAGTTCATAACTTTTTGTAATTTACAATTTTTTTTAAGAAAATACATTTTTTCCGCTCCTTGCTGAAAAAATTGTTTTCCAATTTTTTAAAACACTACTGGCTTTTAAAGGGAAAAATTGAAAAATTTGCTTCCAAATTATCCGTAGTATAAGACGAAAATAAATGCATAAGTCAATTTTTCAAAAAATTCGGAAAATTGGAAAAAATTTCCAATTCGTACTACGCATACCTATTGATAATGCGAAAAAAAATGCAAAAGTCAATTTTCCAGTTTTAAAATAAAACTTTTTAGTTCCAAGCAAACTACATAAATTAAGTAATAGTTTCAATATGGCTCCACAAAAATTTAATCCAAGCGATCAAAAGAACATCGTACTAAAAACAAATTATATACCACATATTTACGCAAAAATGTCCTCTTTTACGAAACCTTTAACCATTGAGTAAGATCTTACTCAATGCTTTAACATTTATATTTTCTTCAATAATTAAATCGCAACTATATTGCGCATGCCCATTTACCATTTTGTACTGAGGTCTGCAATACCCCTAAACTATTTCGATACAAAGCAAACAACAAACAGAATACTGGGCCCTCTTATTTTTGGCAAGCCATTTGTATACATGGAGTATGGATGTAAAAAGTGATTTTAATTAAAAAAATTTCTTTGTACCTACATATGTCCAAATATTTTCTTTTTAATTTTACAATGCATTTATATCTTAAGAAACTACATTATTTAAAGTATTTTTGTTTTTGTTATTATACTGGGTGACTATTTTTTTCTGATCATGAGCCAAACCAATTCGTCATAGGTACACAAATGTATGGAAAAAATTAATAATAGGGTCATTCCACGTTACTCGGGGATTTTTGTCCCACCCGTCACAATTAAAAATTGTGAGTAAAAACTACAAGTTATAAAATTTATTTAAAAATATTGTTTTATTATGCTTTTAATAAGTTATAAGCACAATAAAAATAATATTATAAAATATTAATTTTATAACTTGTGGTTTTTACTCACAATTTTTAATTGTGACGGGCGGGACAAAAATTACCGAGTAACATGGAATGCCCCAATAACAATAATTAACACATCCATGTTTAAAGTCATTATAAGCAATATATAATTTTGTTTTAATTTTTGTTAATAAATATTTTGGATTCCCACAATTGAAGTAACATTTTTAATAGGTAATTGCAATAAAGAAATTGTTTTTATTTACAATTCCAATATTGTATGTTCTTTTTTAATTTAAATGCATCATGACATCCAAATATTTTTTTTTAATTGTAAATAAAAATAAACGTGGTATTGCAATTCGGTACAATATTTGTTTTCCTTTATTATTAAAAAGGTTACCTATCCCCTTCATCCACTTGTTCCTTTAATTATTTAAGCCCAATGGGCTTAGTCCATAGTGTTAAAATGTTATGTTGTGTTATAAAGTTCAAAAGTTGTCCAATTTGGTATAAATAAGGTTTTACCGAGTCATAGCCTACCAAAGAAATAAAGTTAGTTTATAAACTAATAAAACTTAAATATGCCAAAATTTAATTTTTCAATACCATTTTTTATAAAAAAAATATATTATTAAAAAAGTTAATTACGAAAAAGAGCATAAAATTTGCTATAAAAATTATTTTGGATTTTTTTATTTACGAATTCCTATATACCTGCGTTTATAACTAGACAATGTCTAGTAGACATGTTGAATATTAATCAAAAAAATATTATTAAAAACTTAATTATTTATTTAATTTAGATTTTTAACACTGTGCAAGACAAGAGTACCTTTTTTAGAAAAATAGTAAATAAATATAAAAGGACTAAAAATAAATCCATTATTCCTTCGATTTTAATCACCGTTTAATCACGATTCGATGCCCATTGAAAACAATAATTTTACATCAAGGATGTAATGCTCAACTGTATGTTACTGTGTACTCATTTAATTATTCATGATGATGAAACTTCTTGTTAGTAAGAATTTCTTTAAATAGATTACATGAAATCAATTTGTGGTTTATATTTGTATACTATAATGTATTAAATATTAATTAAAAATACTTTTTTTGGCCTATCTTGCACGAATTTGTCAATTAACTTTATTTTTGAACATAATAAGTTGCAAAATATACCAAAACTAAGTTTTAATTATAAAATAAATGACCTACAGGTACCCATACAGGGTGATTTCATTTTTATTATCGCCAAAAGTTTACGTAATTGTTTTTGAATCAATTACTATTCAATAGTTATTATTTGTGTGGATTTGGGTCAAGGCTTATTTTTTAAATTGAATTAAATTAAGGGGTAGTATAATATTTTTTAAAAATTAAGTGTCAAAAATTTTAATTTTAATGTGTTTAAAATTTTAAATGTTTAATGGTATGTGGTGGTAATAAAGGTTAAAAAAATGGAAATCCACACCAAACACTATTTTTATCGTCGTTATTTTGTTCCAGCTGTATAGAAATGGTGACACCACGTGACCAGTCCGATGTCTCGACGCGCACGTCAAACGTCAACAAGGCGTCACTCGTCGTCCACGTCGTCACAACACCATAACCACCAGGTAGATTTACAATTTAATAATAATAATACAAGTAACAATAAAAAACCTAAATAAAGTTCCTATCATTTAAAACTAAAAAAAGTACCAAGGCAGCTACTGAAGATAGACTCTAATCTAATCATTAGACTGTAAAAATAATGGTACAGCCTGTACCGTCCAGAGATAATCAGATGGTAAATTACTTAAGAGATATATATTAATTTTTAGTGGGCTATTTTTAACTTTCAGCAAATGTCTACATTTAAAAAATATATGAATTTTAATTTAATTTATAATAATAATATTATTATAATATACTTATATTTCCAAACTAAAAAGTATAAAAATATATATGGTGAAATTAAAATAATAAAGCTTGTCAGTGCAAACTTTCCTTATATATTTATATTTTTCATTATTTTTGTTATGTTTCCAAAAACCAATAGAAACTTTCAATTTCAATCATGTCTGTACATTTTAGCCAATCAAAACATTATTATACGCTAAAGAATCATCGCTAGTAGCGCCACCAAGTGGCCGTTATCATCGTAACAAAACTATAACTTTTAATAATCAGCTGTCAAACGCGTATGTTTCAAACGACTGTTTTTGAGAATAAGGCTGAAAAATGTTAAAAATATCGAGGAAAAAACGTGAAACGATTTGTTGTGTTGGTAGGGTTGGGAAAATTTCACTTTTTGCTTGTACTTGAAATTTTCATGACATTTATGAAATTTATTAAAATTTCCTAAATTTCTGAAATTTCATGAAATTTATGAAATTTATTGAAACTTTCAATAAATTTCAATCACTTTAAGTGTAATATATTAATATTGAAATAAGCCCACTCGGGGACCATGGCAAATTGCCTCTCTTACCTCCTACCCACCCCTCTGTGGGCCCCTGCACCAATAATATAAATAGTAAATACCTATGTTTACCACAAATTTCTTGAGATTTCCTTTTAAAATATTTTTAAAATTACTAAAACTAAAAGAGTTATAGCACTTTTTGGTAAGCTAATGAGATTGTAAAATATTTAAAAATAATAAATATATATAAATATAAAACAATGAAAGTGTTTTATATTTATATTTATTAGGGTGTGCCAAAAAACCTCGATATTTTTTTTTTCTTGCTCTCAACCCAAAATATCGTAGAATATGTCCGAATAAATATTCTGTTAAAAGCGGAGCTCATAATTTCAATTTTAAGAGGTCCTCCATCGAATCTGAAGTTTTGCCGCTTAAATAACACAGAAAACTGACTTTTTTACCTTATTTATTCTTGCAACCTAGGAAGAAATTTTTTTTTCATAAAATCCATTACCAAATCTTATAAAGCATTAAATTTGGAAGAAAAAATCTTATTAAGCCGAATTTCTATTTTCATTATTTGATTTTTTACATAGCTTTAAATTTAAAATTTTACGTTTTTTGCCTTTTTCAGCTAAACTATTTAAGTTAGACGAAAAAGTCAAATAGGAATTTTTTAGCTTGTCTGATGTACCACAAAAAAGTTTTAGTCGAATTTTTTGTATCGTCAATATTCTTAAAGTTACAGGCGTATAAAGTCATCATTTTTGTATTATTAACTTTAAATTTAAAGCTCTGTAAAAAATCAAATATTGAAAATAGAAATTCAGCTTAATAAGATTTTTTTGTCCAAATTTAATGCTTTGTAAGAATTAGTCATGGATTTAATGAAAAAAAAATTTCTTCCTAGGTTGCAAGAATAAATAAGGTAAAAAAGTCAGTTTTCTGTGTTATTTAAGCGGCAAAACTTCAGATTCGATGGAGGACCTCTTAAAATTGAAATTATGAGCTCCGCTTTTAACAGAATATTTGTTCGGACATATTCTACGATATTTTGGGTTGAGAGCAAGAAAAAAAAAATATCGAGGTTTTTTGGCACACCCTAATATTTATATTTATATATATTTATTATTTTTAAATATTTTACTGAAACTTTACGAAAATCGAAGAAACTTCATCAAAATTTTATGAGCCAATGGCATTTTTTATCCGTTTTCCGATGCAATTATAGCAAAAGTAAAAATTTAAATTAATCATGACTTTTAAAAAAATTTTAAAGTCTGATTTAATTTACAAATTAAATTGGTAACTGAATTCAATTATTTAAATTAATTTATGCATATAAGTAACAATAATTACTTATAGTGTATTCAAATCCAAGCCAAACTAAACAAAAACGCCCAGACGCTTGATAACTCGTTCTTATTGGTCGATTCGGAATCTGTTGTAAATTATTATTAAAGGTCCCAGGGGAGGCCGCATGTGAAATTTATGAGAAATTTTCAGTAAATTGCGAAACTTTCAATGAAATTTCTAAAACTTTCACAGGCAATGTTGAAATTTTCGAATTGAAAATTTCATTTGAAATTTTTAAAAATTTCACTTCTCCAAATTAATGAAATATTTCAAGTTTGAAACATTCAAAGTTGAAATTTTCATTTGAAAATTTCAACTGTCCCAACCCTATGTGTTGGGTATTTTTCGAGAGGAAATCCTGTGTTGAGTTTTACTGGTTTCACAATAAACAGTGGAAATTTCACTGAAATGAATGAAAGGTACACTATTAGATACAATAAATTGTACCTATTAGATACCTAAATACACAATTGAGTTATGATTTACGTAAAAATTGTAAACATTTTAATTCAATAAAAATCATAAAACAATGCATTGTTAAAAGCGTTGATTAAAAAAGTCTCCACTCAAAGTTAAAATGACAAAAAACGAGTATTATATTACCTATGTATTATATATTCTGTTGCCTTGAATTCGTAGATATATTTTGTGGTTTACTATTTTAAAATGCACTTGACGTTTTTTTTAGAGGACTCAAATATTAAAATGTTTAATTTTAAGGTTATGTTTGTACAACAAGAAATATTATTTTTTGTTAGATTTCTTAAAAATGTCCAAACTTAAATATAAATTATGTTAGGCAAAGTTATCGTTAGTTAATCCTGCACCAACGAATATACGTACCGAGTTGAATCCTTTGGCAAAACATGAAAATGAAACGATTTAGTTTTTGAATTTCATTTACGATTAAAAAACAATGATTCACCATTATCACTTAGATGAGTTTCTTAATCAGCCTTAATAAATCGAAATCGAGTATTAAACCAAAGTTTTTTTGTTTTACACAAATAACGTGCAAGGTTTAGCTCTGCAATTAAAACTTTGCCAACAGAATTTGCCTAGTAAGACTTCTGTCCTCTGTCTCTTTTGTGAAAAAACTACAAATTTATTAAAAAATTATGTGCAGTTCCTATGCTTTAAATATATTGTTGACAATTGACCATATGCAAGGAATGCGGTCGATGTTGCCAATGGTAAAAAAATAAAATTCCCTATTGGGAACATTCAATTATATTACGTTGGCTACATTGAAAATTTGAATTTCCCGCACAAACTAAATTAATTTCCATCTTTTTTTTTAATAATAATAAATAATATTAATTCCCACATTTGAAATTCGCACCTTAATTTATTATACAACATTGGAACTACCTTCTTTATCTCTGGGAACTACTAGAATGTATGTCAGTTTGTGCGGGAAATTCAAATTTTCAATGTAGCCAACGTAATATAATTGAATGTTCCCAATATAGAATTTTATTTTTTTACCATTGGCAACATCGACCGCATTCCTTGCATATGGTCAATTTCTTGAATTCCCATAATGTTATCGAGCTCCACCAGATATCGCGCGCATTTCAAAAACCCGATGCTTTAGCGTATAGCGGAAATATTAATACAATAATTGTTGAGGCATTGTTGCTCCGTCAACAAATATTTCAAGGAATCAATAAATTGAAAATAATTCTCCAGATCTTTTCTGAAACCTGTTGCACATTGATAAAATATTATATAGGCTGTTGCCATTTGGCAATAGGCACTCGAGCCCTACAGGTTTTCGAAAATATGTCAAAATATTTTTATTCTGAGTCTCCTTTGATAATACTACTAAAAATAAAATCTGACTATCAACGTCTAATGTTAATAATAATATTTTAATATAATTGTTTAGAGCACCTCATTTACGAAACCAAATGGTTACCAAGAAAACCCCGTACCACATCACTACCAAGACTACGCTAGAAAATCTAGTTCCAGCAGGAGAAATGGCTACCCAACCACAACTATAGATATAGGTTATAGTGATGACACTACAGGTAAATATTAAGTTTTCTTATATATATATCAAAGAAACTTTGATTTCATTCCTTTTTTTCAAACTCACAAAACTTGCTTCTTATTAAAATACTAACTTTTATTATATTTGTGTCTAACTTGCTATGGATAAAGAGGTAATTTTAAACCTTTTTACCAAAATATTATATCGTTTGAATATTCTCTTTTTTATTTCTAGACACCCAAAGTTATTTCGACTACTACCAGGACAACGGTTTTCAGCACAGTCCTCTTAAGGAGTCGAGGAATACGGACTGCACCTTTACGGACGACAGTGGCTCCACCAGGTTACCTTACTACGAGTTCGACGATGAAACGAATAAAAGGTATTCGAGGAACGCGTTTTCGGACCGGAGCACCAGAAGATCTCACCACAGCAAGGATCAAAGAAAGGTTTATCCCAACCAGGATGTCGGCTGGGACAGGGTCTATCAAGAGATTGCATCGCCGTGAGTTCCCTTTTTAAGTTATTTTGTTCGCCTTTTTATTCTATTTAATATATTATGTCTTCCATGGATTAAGACATATTCTAAAAGTTTTTGGTGTTTTGGGGCTTTGATATAAGAAGAAAAATCATTTAGAATAAATTTTTTTTGAAAAATCAAACATATTTTATTAACAGTTTGAAGATTTCCAGAAAAATTGCTAACACAAAAAAAAACGTTTTTTCCTAGAAAATCTGGAAAAATTGGGAAACATTAATCGTTTGTTTTAAACTGAAAGTATTAAATTTTAGTGCCAATTTTATACATTCTTTACGAACTATTTTGATGAAAAAATGCATTTTACTACACTGTATTGGCGCGGCAATGTTATTTACCAGCGGATTCCCTCCACATTTCAGTAAATCCCCGAAAAAATCAATTTAGATATTGGTTTTTATTTAAAATATCTTAACGATATTGTAAAATATTATGTATTATTTTCATGTATCGAGTTTGATAAACGGAATTTTCATCAGGCAGGTGTTGGAAATATTCCATACCTGATATATTGAATTGTTAATCATAGACATAATACAAAAATAGAGTAACCAAATTGATGTACGAAATCTGTTTTAAAGCGGTAAATTTGTATGTAAAAATACAAATTCGTCCCTTGAAAATGGACTAACAACCGTTTAAATCCGATATAGAAGCTATTTGAAGTTTTAATAGTCAAATAATATTTTTTTAGGAAGCAGGACTTTTTATAAAAGTAACTTTTTTCGGGAAATTAATAATAAAAAAGTTTCCCAAAAGTTTCCCGTATGTAATAACGCGGACACTGTATACGAATTTGAATGTTTGCATATTAAAAAACGTTTAGAATTTGTTTTCGAGATATTGGAAAAAAACGTTTTTTAATATGCTATAGCGAGCGCAAATTACCCAAATTACTAATTTTGTCGACCAGTTGTTATTTTTATTTCTTTAATTAAAAGTTTAACCACAATCCACACAACATGTCTTATTTGGTTTTTCACTTTTTGAATTTAAAATTAAAAAAAACCAATCGATCAATTTTGACAAATTTTTATTAAATTAAACTTGGGAAATTTATTTTTTTTAAATTATATTGTCCAAATGTTGCCCATTTTTTTCCTGGCACTCCTGAAGTCGAGCTGTAAAATTTGCAATCACGCTCCGAAAAGTTTGCTCACTTATGGCTTTCATTTCTGCCCGAATATTGTGCTTCAAGTCCTCCAAATTGGCAGGGTGGTTACGATAAACTTAACTTTTAAGATATCCCCATAAAAAGAAGTCGCATGGAGTCAAATCTGGGCTTCTGGGGGGCCAATGTATGTCACCTCTTCGGTTTTTCAGGAAAAAACGCCTGAACAACGGGCAAAGACCGATTTGAAGTGTGACTTGTGGCTCCGTCTTGTTAAAACCAGCTTTCTTGGTCAAATCCTTCAAATTCTTGAAGAGCAGGTGTCAAAAAATCACGTATCATGTGGACATAACGCCTGCGAACCGACAAGTTTGGTTCCTGCCTCACAGACGCTCTCACCATCTCAATGTTTTCAGGGCTTTTTATTGTTCTTAAACGGTTGGTTATGCGTTTATTTGTCATATCAAACTTACGAACCCATGCCCTAATTAAATTAATGCCTGGGCATTGTTAAATGTCGTGTAAATTGTAATGGCGTCTAAACAAACGTCGAACGAGAGTGCAAGAATTGTTATTTTTATAAAACTCGCGCACACAAAAAGCGCGTTGTTCTCCTGTGTAACGCTGCATGTTGACTAAATTTCCCAATACCAAGAGTTTGTTTACGACTAACCCCACTCTTCCAACCCACCTAACAACTTTTTTACAGGGCCACAAAAAGTGAAAAACCAACTGAGACACCCTGTATCTCGTTTCGCGCAAACTAAAAATCACTGCAACACTGCACAGAATCTAACGGCGGCCATTTTTATGTTGTTTAAAATTCTTGTGCTTTTGTTTGTGTTTATACAGATTAATAATCAATAATAATCAATTTTAAAGTTAATTTACCATAACCCACAATGATTGGCATGAAAATGTGCAAGTTTTTCCCAATGTAACCATTACTTTTAAATATATCATTCACTGGGGTCGGATTTTTGTTTACATTGTGGCCCTTGACCTGTTCATACAAAAAAGTCTACTAAAAATCAACTAAACTAAAGACTTTTACGGATTTTCTTGTTTTAACAAAATTTAACAAAAAGTATTATATCTGTGGTATGTATGTCTATGTTGTCAATACACTGACAAAAAAAATATCGTCAATATTATTGAACGTGTGAGGGCCCCTTAAGGGTGACCATAGAAGAATAACCACATTGTTTTCATTTGTTTCAGATGTGATATTGTCGTTGCAAATCCAACTGACCGACGACAGCCGATTTCACGCGTATCAGACAGACCGCAGAGTTCGTTGAGTTCCGGCTTAACCAGTGCTGCCGTTTACGGGTGCGGCGGAAGATGCCAAACGTTCGAGAATGTTTGCTATTTTTTTCTGCAGGTAAGTTCAGCAATTATTTTAAATTATAACTAACAGGGAATATTATTTTAAATAAAAATGCAGAAGACATGGTTTATGATCAAATTTACAAAAAGATTAATTATTTTTCAGCTGGTTTTTTCCATGGGCATTTTAATTGGCGTATCCTTGTGCATCGCCGGCGTAGTTTTGCGCGAATCGGCCGCCAGAAAGCTGCAAGTGTTGGTTTACATCGGCATTTTGTTGGCAATAGTCAGCGCACTACTTTTGAGCATACAATGTAACGCCCGAAACGCGACCAAACGTCGCAAGATGGCCATACAGAACGCCAAAAGAGCCCCCATTCAAATGGAGACCCTCCATTCTAGAACCATGCCCTTCCAACAGGAGCCGCTAATGGTGGACGGCCCAATGCACAGGTAAGAAATTAGTATGTCCGTTTATTAGTATTCTTCCAAAATTTCTATAAAAAGTTTCAAATAAAATTTCCAAAAAAATTTTCAAAACACTACAACTACGAGATAAATGTAATACCATTTTGTAGGACCATTTTTACAAAATATTTTTAAGCAATAAAAATGCTACTAAATTACACCACCTGACATTTTTTTACAAAGATATACGCAAAAATACATCTATTTTTCAGTTTTTAATAAATATCTTGGCCCCCTTATACTGTATACAAGTGTTTTTTGTTTATACAAATAAGTAAAAAAATATAGTTTTTAAATTCAATATACCGTTTGCGAAATATTCGCAAAAAAGTGAAGAAAAAAACAAAATTTTCATTTTCACCAACTATATTTTTTTATACAAATAAGTAAAAAAATATAGTTTTTAAATTCAATATACCGTTTGCGAAATATTCGCAAAAAAGTGAAGAAAAAAAACAAAATTTTCATTTTCACCAACTATATTTTTTTACTCGCTTGTTTAAACAAAAAATACTTCAGACAAAAATTGTTGGAACTTTTATAAAAAATAAATAATATTGCTCTTTTACTTTTTGTGGGGCCGAGATATTCGCTAAAAACAAAAAAAATGTATTTTTGCGTTTACTTTGTAAGAAAAAAGGTCAGGTGGGGCAAATTTGGTTTTAAAATGAAAACATTAAACCTATAATTTACCAAGTAATAATTTATTTTGACAAAAGTAAGAAGGGACAAACTCATTCTTATTATTGTTTTTCCAAAATATATTTTATTCGACAAATCAATTTTAAGCCTTAAGGATCTGCAAATAACTAATCCCACAAAAAATGTTCCTCACGTTAAGGACAACGCGTTGTTAAGAAAAAAAACTGTCCTCAACTTGTGCTCCTTTTATTATTGTTTTTGAATATTTTTTGTAATAATCTGAATAAGTAATTTTATTTGATTAATTTTGTCATGTGAAGTTTTATTAAACCCTTCCCCCCACCAATATCACAATATTTGTGGACCTCCCTATTATTTCAAGTTTTAATTTGACACTTTCTTTATTTTTCTAGTACTAAAATTTGTTGTTCTTTTACTAGGATAGTACAAATTCCCCAAATCCACAGACCTCTACCTATGCCTGATGCCAGTTCTCTAGTAGAAGAACAGGGTATACCATGGTGGAGAAGGAAGGATCTAAATCCCAGATGATTTGTACATTTATAAAAAAAACAGCGTGTAAATATTTTGATATTGTTAGGTACCTGAAGAGATACCAATACTTATATAAATAAATAAATAAAATGTCTGGGCTCTGTGATTAAACTTGACGTCCTTTAAAATAAAAAGGATTTAATAATAGAGGAGAGTGACTACATATGTATTCGTTTTTTCCATAAAAAAGAAAATCGTTTCAATAATTAAATACTTTTAACTGAATTTGTAAATATTAATTATTGTTTAAAAATCAAGGTACTATTTCATATTTACTTTCCTTTACAATTTATTTTTGTACAATTTTGCGACCAAGACTTGACTTTTTTTTATAAATCAAACAATAAGATCTTGTTGATTCACTCTATATACTACCTCTTGTAAGATTTTACAGTTTTTCTAGTCTAGATTTTATAAACTGACTGCACTGCATGATTTTAACCTATAACAAATTTACTTTTCTTATAAGTAAAATTTGTTGTATACTTGTTATAATTTATTATATAATGCAGTATTCTTTGTAAATTTGTATTATAAATTCAATAAACAAGTTTTATAATTATTGCCTTTTAATTTATATCCCACTTCATAAAAAGAAGATATACAGACACCTGGAGTTGTAATAAATAGTGCACTATCAACTTTGAGCTTCTACTATTTAAAGCCTAATTTTCAAGATAGGAGATTACAAAATAATATACAGGATAATTTTAATACCTATTTATTAGTGTGAACTTTATTAAATAAATTTTCACGTTGCTATTGCAATAATAATGCACAAATTACAAAAATACAAAACATAAATACATAAATAAAATTATAAATAGACGGAATGTTTTTGCTTTGGCTCTTAATTTAATTAAATTTATACTTCTGAGCTATTTTTAAATAAATAATTTTAAATATTAACTAATAGTCTAAATGAGTACCTTAGATGCAAAACTCGGTTTTTGCAAATTAAAAAATAAAATAAAATTGACTTTAAATTCTGTTTAGTGTTCGTCCTAGATAAATGGCGTTTATAAAACTTGATACATAATAATATATATAATATAATATTATTATGTATCAAGTTTTATGAACGCCATTTATCTAGGACGAACACTAAACAGAATTTAAAGTCAATTTTATTTTATTTTTTAATTTGCAAAAACCGAGTTTTGCATCTAAGGTACTCAAATGATATTTGAATATATGTATGGACAATTTATGGAGGGATAAAGTTTACAGTCATAATCTTAAAATTAAGTCTTTTGTTTTGAATACATTTAAATTGAGTCAATTACATAATAAATAAAAGTTAGTTTTGTAAAAACTTGATAAAAAACCTTTGATTACAATAAAATGCTGTTTCTTTATCACATTTTTACAAAACAGTAAGAAATTTCTTAAATTCGAGGTATTTTCAAGAAAAATTAAATTCCCTCTGGTTTAAGAACTAAGAATAAGTGTTGTGCAATTTACTTACAATCATTATAATCTATATAATCATTTAAGAAAATTTCTAAACCTTTTCCTACATACAATTAATTATAGAGTTATTATAAGTAAAATTACAGTAAAACAGGGTAAATAGAAACAATATTTCAGGATTTGTTTAAAAATTACACATTGTTTCAATTTAATTTTGGAAGGTTTGTTTAAAGTAAATAAACTAATTAAAAGTAATATTAAAAAAAACAATTTTCTGATTTTACTATTTGTATATGACAATTTTTTTAGTTGCGATTCTTTAATTGCCAAGGTGTGTAAGTTTAAGTTCAAATAATTGGCTTGAGTACCTTGAATTAAGGACTGTTTGCACAATTTGCTGCAGGTCATTTTCATATAGAAAATCAATAGAAAATCATCCACATTAATAATCAACATTTTATCTAGAAAGTAACTATTGTCTATTCCAACTACAGAGCTTAAAAAGTGTTTTTATTTACCCCATTTTAAGTTAATATTATTCTAAAAATTTGTCATAATATTATAATAACTCTATGCTTAAAATATATTAACTCAAAATATTATTTAATATTTTTGATTTTACACTAGCTACATGTTAAAAAAATATTAATTTTAAGCTGTTTTTATTTAATATATTTAGTTAAAGTAAAGATTTTATCTTAACCTAATGCACCTACTTGCGGAAGCATTTTTTTAAATCTCACAGCGGATTTATCTACGAAAGTGATATGATAAATTCGATTAATATAATATAAATTTTTCAAGGTTATATTGACATGTTATAAAATCCATTCAACTTTATGTTATCCTTGAAAATGCAAATGCTATACAAGGTTGTCATTATTAAAATTGCATGTATTTTTAGTTATGTTTAGTCAGTGTGTCTACTGAGCAAAATATTTTTCACAAATTTCCTGTACATAATAAAACAAATCTCAACACATACTACAGTTATATAAAAAACCTCTACCTACTTTTCCTGCACTTACTTCCCATACAGTAGACACCCCAAATATCAGTTTGATTTAATAACACACCTGTTTCTTGAAATTTTCGACTTAACTTTCTAAATAACACAATGTCTGTAGAAAGCAATAAACCAATCAGAGAAAGACATTCTCTATAGCACACTTGATGCACTGAGAAAAAAATGGGACAAATAAACTGTGTAGCTAATCCTTTTATTAATAGTGAATATATTGTTTAATACCTCTAAATAGTCGAAATAATAACGATAAATATACTTTAGTAAAACTTTATGTGTCGGGAATAAAAATATATTTATGATAAATATACTGTACCCTTGTCCCATATTTAAATATTTTTTTTATTTGGGAGCAATAAACTTTTTTCTCAGTGTGCGATGGAGAATGATTGGTTTATTGCTTTCTATAAAAACTATTTTCTGTACAAAGTAAAGTCGCAAATTTCAAGAAACTTCCCCAGTAACAATTGGACATATCGCTCTGTTGATAAAAAAGTGACACATTTTGGCGGAGCCACATTAAATTTGCTGGGTTAAACAAATATTGACGAGTTTTTTAAATTTTAAGGTTGCAATTATTTTTAGGAGAAAAAAATGGTTTGTTGTTTTGATGGAGCTATAGAATAATTTATTTAACTGAAATATGTATAGGGTAAGGTGGGGTAGGTTCGGACATGGGGCACCTCCGGACAAATCAAATTTACCGCCTTAAAGTGCTACGAGAGTTTCCATATTGACAGTAAATATCCTTCTACACTAATAGTTTTGTGGTCCGTACATGTTTAGCGACTTTGATCACTCGACAACTATTTATTTGAGAAAATATAAAAACATAGTTATTCTTATAAATTTTATTAGGGCTATCGTAAGCTTTCTTGGCTTGAGAACACCATTAAGGTAAGTTTTATACCTTTTACCGCAGATATTAATATCTTTGGCGATACATAACCTCATAAAACAGCATCAGTTAACCATGTGCAAATTTTTATTTTGATATCTATGTATTTCTGGAACATGGGGCACGTTCGGACAAATCGGGTGGGGCAGCTTCGGACTGTCCGAATGTGCCCCATTTTACAAATAAAACCCAGTTTTGATTGATTTAACTTTCTGGGATGGTACGTAACTATTTTAAAAAGAAAAAAGGTAAAAGGTAAATCCAGAATTTATACAAGCACACCGGAAAAGGAAAGAATTCAAGAATTGGAAACAATGAGAAAACAAAAGTTGGAGAAAAAAACACGAAAAGAAAAGCATTACAAAGCGAATGTGAAGTGAAGAAAAATGATACAAAAGTTGGGGAGAAGAGCAAAGGAAAGGCGCCGAAGAAAAAGTTAAAAAAAATAGAAAGTGACTCCTCGGATTCTGATATAGATTTACCACAGAATATTGTGCATGAGACAAAAATTTTTGATTCCGATTCTCTGGACGAGTTTCAAGACAATGACGATGTGCTCATGCTATTGCATGATGACGTGATCCATTGTCATGATTATTTGCTTGTCAAATACCCGACCAACAGAAGGACACTTCATTATATCGGCAAGGTAGAATCTTGCAATAATGAAGGCTCTTACGTCTTAAATTTTTTGAGGAAGTATAAAAGCGGTTTCCGCTTTCCGGACTTGCAAGATATTTCGACTGTTTCCAGAGAAGATATAGTTTCGAAAATACCGAAGCAGCACCAAAGGCAGCACCAGGAACTTCAAAGATGTGTTCGCTCTTTAAATTTAATGTCAATTTTGATGGTTATAATGTTTAATAAACTTTTTCTAATAGAGTCTCTTATTCGTTCTAAAAATAAATAGGTTCCAAATTTTCTCAGGCCTGTCCGAAAGTACCCCACTACTTGTCCGAATGTGCCCCAATATGGGGCAGATTCGGACAAATGCATTTTTTTAAGTAAAATATCACCAAACGAAAACCACTTAATATTTTTTGCTTAAGATAATGCTAAAATGTTGGAAATAGACTAAGCTATCCGTAGTATTTGCATTAAGTCTAAAAAAATTTGTTATCTTTGAAATATTAATTTTTGAAAAAACGTGTCCGAACCTGCCCCACCTTACCCTACTCACCAGAATTTGAAAAATATCCAAAGTACCCACTTTTAAATATATTAAAAAGTAACACTAAAAAAATGGAAAACCAAAAAAATAAGGAAATTAACATATGAACTAAAAATAAAATGACCTGAGGAATCATAAGATATTATTTTTATTATGGATGGTTTATAATGGCAAATTGTCTTGAGGTTTATAATGGGAATTATTATCTAATCCGCAATTCTCGAAAAATTGGCTTGCGGTTTATAATGGGAATTAAAATTGCATCTGTATTATCAATATTTTTGATGATTATAACCACAGACCGTGATTATAACCATCTATGGTTATATATATAGATATATATGATTTAACCTCTAATATTGACTGTTGACGTAAATTGCAATCAATTTACCCCGTGATTTACAAAGAAATAATTCCTTTGGTGTCCTAAGGTAGGATAATGTGTATTAAAAAGAAAAATAAAAATGACTGGTGAGGACCATGATACCATATTATACATACACCTTAAGATAGGATGGTGCGCATGTTGGGCGGGGCTTAAATACGTCACTTGATGAGTGTTTTTAAATCTTTAACGTGCTTTTTAGTTATCTGCTGCTAAAACTTGCTCTATATTTTGTTTAACTTGTTGTTTTTGCGTTCGGTAAGGTTCGAATTACTTTTCGGTGTTCAAATTATTGTTATTGCGTTGTGTTAACCTGTTCTGTTTGTTTATTATTGTTTTTGTGTTGCGTTAACGTGTTTTGTTTTAGTTTGTGTCGTGCCATTTGCATTTATTAAAATGCGGTGTGGCATATTTGGATGCAATTCGGACAACCAGTCCAAGAAATAAAAACATTAAATTTAATCGATTCCCGAAAAACTTTGATTTGTGGAAACAGTGGTTAAATGCCACAAAAAGAATAGACAATATTAACGTTAAGACCGCTTCTGTTTCCTCTAAACATTTTCTGGACAGTGACTATAAGTTTAATTTAAAACACCAACGCTTAAACTACAGCCCTAAATGTTATCAAGGACTGAATTTCAGTCACTGAAAGCATTTATTATCCCTACGCACTCTGATATGTGAATATTAAGTTTAATAAAAACGTCCAGATATTTCTCTATTTTCTTGGATAATATTACTATTATTCGTGTATTCGCACGGCAACTACTCATCAAGTGACCGACATGCGCGGCACGAACCAAAACTCGTACACGGGAGCATCCAGCCCTGGGTGAGGACGAACTTGTAGCACTCGCATCCCATTGGTTAAAAATAATAATGTGCTACGAGATTACGATAAGAGATTAGTGCCAGTATATACCGAAACATTTACAATGAATGTTTAAAGAATAGTGGTTAGAGAATAAAATTAGGCTTATTGTCATTATAAACCATCCAATCATTAAATTTTTAAATTGACAGACGTCAATGAAAGTTTTTCCACCAAAAAATATCAACTTTTGGGTAGGTAACTTTAATTCATTAAAGTTAAAAACTGTAATATTTGAGTCGTGTCACTTTTCTATCAACGAGCGGTATACGATAAACCAATGTTATTTATTACAATAAAAGTTAAAAATAAACTCAATTTTTCCATCTAATACTAAGTGAGTAAGTCTTTAAGGAGATATTTAAGTAACAAAAATACATTTTTCAATGTACAGAGTGTGATGATCACTTACTAATTACTAATTAAGTTTCTTCATGAGCTGTTGGGTTTAGCGGACGCAAAACAATCCTCGGATCGCTCTCAACCATTCTATCTGCTTCTTCATTACTAAATAAACATTTTTTTTATAAATCAAACTTATAATTTTAACGATAGTAGTATCCACTGGATACTTCCAAAAGTGATATTGTTTTTACCCTCTGAGCAAAATTTTCAAAACCCTTTAGTTTTATTTTTACTTACGTTATCTCTTTGTTCTCGTGTGGCATTAATTTGCTCTGTTCGCTGTCCTCTGGGGTGGGTTGGTAGGCAACCTCCGATACAGGGGCGTACTGGGCTGCAACCAAAAGGTCTGTCGATGGGTTAACAGTCAAGTTTTGACCTCCGGACGTTTTCAAGTGATCTTTCATATTTCTCCAGCATATTCTTCTTGTTAGACGCAAGAAGAAAACTGAAATTTTTTTAAATTAATGGTACTTCAGTATTTACCAGGGTGGTATTTACCAACAAGAACGTAAGAATTGAAAATAGGTACAGTATGTAAGTGACAGTCTTAATTTAGTAAAGCGCATATCCTTTTTCTATGGCGCAAATGCTGACGGACTAAGGACTAAAAGTGGATTCAAACGTAGAATTCGTCAAATTTATTTTCTGGAATTTACCTACATTTAAGAAGTTTTTAAAATTCCAAAAGCAATTTTTGCAAATTTCAGTAATAAATTTTGGCATTTTACATTCAATAAACATTAATTTACTTATTTTACTCTTGTTTTTGTTTACAATAATTATTAATTAACTACTAACTGTATTTTGTAAGTAGGTTGTCCATAAATAAACCTGTAAATATAAATTGTAAAGATACCTTTTTTTCTTTTGCTTTTAAAACTAGTGATAACCGGAAGTAAGGTTAGTTGTCCATAAAGGAAGTTTAGATTTTATTGTCAACAAGATGATATTTGTTCAAAATTCCGTGTCCACCACTGTAGAACATGTTCCTAAGTAAGGAAGTAATTACGCAACTTATGTCTAATTTAACCGACCTAGCCTCTTCAAATAAAAAAGATACCCATACATAGCTTCTAGAAGGATACTTGATGCACCCTGTATCATGATATACAGAGTGTCTCAGATTTTAATCTGGAAAATTTATTTGTCGATATAGGTAACTCGCAAAAAAGAAATGTTTATATAAACTTGTATGTTTTAAGGTAGTTGTCGTGGTACAATATTGTCAAAAATTTTTAGATTATACGCACCGTAAATGTAATACGAGCTTGTAGCTAAGTGATTCATAATTTTTTCGCAAGACTGTACCCTTGGAGACGTTACCTTTACGTAATACTTTCAAATATTTCCATAAGTTTTAATCCGGCAACGTTGCTTATGCTCAACCAATAGATATATTGGAGACTGAATCAGTCTGTTTGAATTTACTGCGGAAATAATATCTATACTCGCGTACAGCGTTGCCAAGTTGTTTTTATCTGACACTAGTGATGTATACTTTTTACAAATTGTTGAACTTTAAACGGTTATTTATAAACAATTGGACGGTCAAAAATGTTCAATTATTTTATTTAAAAACTCAGCAAAAATACATTAAAAGACTGTTACTTTTTTTTATAACTAAGAAACTGGTACAGAACTACAGAAAGCGTATACAATCCATGTTAATTATCCAATTTTTAATTGAATTTATCTCGGGTTATGGATGGTCAATCGACTTCAAATTTAAATTAATTTTAATTTAATTTTAATTTAAATTTAAAATTTTCTGATGGTATGCTTACAGCACGACAACTACCTTAACGCTTCGTTTTTAAGATAAAAGTTGACAAGATTATTAAAAAATATTAATTTTTTCAAAATTTTTAAAAGTCCTTGGGCGAATTTAATAAAACTTTTCAGGTTTTTAGTAATGGGTAGATGGCCTAATTTAATGTAATTAAATATAATAATATTTATAGATTAAGTAATTAAATATACAAGTTTTTTGTCCCCTCCATTTTTTCTTTATATTGTTCAGTTTTTTAAGAAATCGGATTTATACTCGGATGATTTGCGTTTCAAGCTGCATAATATCTCGTAAAATAATGTACCTATTATTAATGTTTCATAAGGTGCTTACCAAATAGAAGTATGGAAAGGGCAAAGAATATAGCCCCAAAAATTGTTATGCTTAGGTATACACCTTCTTTATCTGCTGGGGTGTCAGAATAACCCATAGATCCATGTATGAGCATGACCAACCTAAAATACACATTACAAATATTGCTAAAAAAGAAAAGGATTGCCGAACCCCAAAGAAAAGCAGGCCACACACGATGTGATAAGTATAATGGGCAACACATTTCTAGAGGGTAGACAGTTTAATCCACAAGGTCGCCTGGCTGTTTGCGAAACCGATGCCAAATAACTGATGGGTCTGTCTTGCCACCTTTCCTGTCCATTTGATTCATATTGCACTGTAGTTGGTTGGTATACAGCCCCCGACATGGTTCTAAAAGGAAATACATTTTTATGAACGACTTTTACCACTGCAGTGAACAAATACATAACATTTTTAAAGGGTTTCGCTATAAATTAACAAAACAAATCATATGTCAAATATGGATAAAGTGAGGTTATGTTAAACGTCATATTTCTATAAACAAATGAATATTTACATAAAACAACGTTGTTATTATTATTATTATTATGGTTAATTTATAATTTGAATTGCATTGTTACATACCTTGTTTATTTGGTCAAAAATCAGGCTAATTTAATGTGTTTATTTTACAGACATTTGGTTTTTTTAAAAGTGTGCAGGAGAGAGATGCATATAGTCGCGCACAGGTATTTTGTATTCAAGGTTTCTGGTCTGGTCTTCCGCAGGTAAAATCTACCAGTGACGTAGAAAAATGATTTTATCATAGTTTTAAGCCATAGTTTTAAGCATATCTCCGTTAATAGTATATTATGTATCAAGTTTGATAAACGCCATTTTATACACGAATTTAATTTAGGCACGAGCGAGCTTGCGAGCGAGTGCTTAAGTTAATGAGTGTATAGAAAAGTTTATAAACGAGGTGCATACTATACTTTTTCTACGACAAATACTTATTATTATCTTAAAATGATTTAAATCAAAAATTTGTATAGAGCGCCATCTATGAAACAACAGGAGAAACTGTCAAATGTCACATTTTTACATTTTATAAACACAATTATAAAGGTTATAAATCGAAATGTATCTTGAAAATTGACAGTTTTTCACAGTGAAGAAAATGTTTTATGAGGACTTTACAGTGGAGTCCGTGCCCGAATTTAAGTTATAGTTTAGTGCCGGCGAAATTAAAAGGTCAGTACAATGTTCATATAAACTTTTTAAATATTGGCGTTGAGAAACTATTGAATACTTTTGTATTTTTGTATTGAGATAATAAAATAATTTTCACATTTAGTATTATTTTACAAGAAAGGCACTTTATTTTAACGATTGTATGACATTTGACAACTGTCAACTAACTTAAAACTAACTTCAGCCCGTGACTAAAGCGCCGTAAAGCCACAACTTGTCAATGTGTATTTAAAAGGTCACTTAGTGTCATGGAAACATGTACGATAAAGGGCGTTTTAAAGGTGGGAGTAGAAAAAATTATATTATATTATATATTATATTATAGGTAGTAATAGTACCATCATGGTACTACAATGGTACTATTAGTTTAATTTTATTTCAATGACGGCACTTGACAAAATAATTTTTTTTGGTTATTTTGTGCATTTTTATACCTAAAATTTTTCAATAAAATTTAGTATAGGGTCGTTTTGAGGGGTGGTGAATCCAGTGCCGTGCTTAGATTTTGATTAAAAAATTTGCTAATATGAATTCTTAAAAATTTACTCTTAAAAACTGACATAGTAAGAGGCCTTGTATTTTGCAAAAATACAGTTTATCAAGATCTACACTTTAAAACAAATCCGGTTAAAATCGCACAATAAAAAAAGATTTTACAGGGGTGAGTCGCAAACAAATGGGTCACACTGTAAAATCTGGCAGTGCGACTTAAAATCTGACAATGCTACTTAAAATTTGACACTGCCACTTAAAATCTAGCACTGCATTTTAAAAACATGCACTGCCTGATTTTGCTAAAAAAACATACCTACCATCGTAATTTTAAAATAAAATATAATGAAATAAAACAACATTTTTGTTAAGGTACCTATTTATAAAATTTAATTTCAATTATTTATTATTATAATAGACCAAATAATATTTATAATTTTATTAAAATTATATTATTTACTTTTGTTTTGAAACTTTTTATTTATATGAAATATGGTAATATAATAAATATTATTATTGATTTGTTAATACTGTCTCTCCATATATACCTATTACCTAGGTATATAAAATATATTATATATAAATTAAAATATATTATATACAATATACATATTTTATATAAATTAAAAACCAATTATTACTTAAAAATAACAAACAAAACAGCTACCATAGGGCGACACGTACCTATATTATTTTAATTTAAAGTAAAAATTTATTAACTAGAAATAGTGAAATAGCGAATAGAAACCCGTATTGGCTGCGGAATGCTGGGGCAGAATTGCATTTTTTGTCGGAACAATATCCGCAAAATTTTTCTTCACCCAAGGATTTATCGCAAGTATGTCCTGATCTAGGATCGACAATTACACATCTGCGGCTTGTCGTTTCTTTTTGAGTGGCTTTATCTGAAATAAAAAAAATAGTTTACCATAGTATTAACAAAATTAATAAAAATAAATGTAAAAAGCGTACTTTAAAATCAAATTTTTAATGTAAACAAAACTATAGTGACCGGCAAAAGGATGGAACAAATTCATTGAAAAATTCGGCTTTTTTTCTAAAAAAAATCCTTGAACAGATCAATTTTGTTTTTCAATTATGCACATTTTGATGAATAATTTTCATATTTTCCGCCATTTTTGTTGAATCTCTGACTTAATCGGCCATTTTTTTAAATTGTACCCCCTCTTTTTTTTAGATTCGAATAGATTTCAGCAATATGCTCCCAATGTAGTAGATAATTTAATTAATTTATTGACTTTTTACGTATCATAACGTCTTTTTCAACTATTTTTTAAAAGATTTCAATTTTTGTTGTAATTGCGAAAATGAACGTTAAGATTTAAAAAAAATTGCGACTAAATATATCAAAATGTTTGTTTTTAAATGTCCTAAATTGGCTATTAGCAAAAAAAAAAATTCGGCTTTTTTTGCATTTTTCAAAGATTTTGGATGCCTTGAACACGAAAAAAATATCCCAGCTTTGTTGCAAAAATTGTCAGACAGTGTAATTGTAGCAGAAGAAATGTAAAAAAATAAATATGGAATATTTTAAAATGAAAGTTACATAATTTACATTAGTATAATAATAATAGATACTTAAGGTAGTTGTCGTGCTGTAAGCATACCATCAGAAAATTTTAAATTTTTGTATACTTATTAAGGACATGACAATACATATATCCTTAAAATTTGAAGTCGATTGACCGTCTATAACCCGAGATAAATTCAATTAAAAATTGGATATTTAACATGGATTGTATAGGCTTTCTGTAGTTCTGTACCAGTTTCTTAGTTATACAGAAAAAACTAACTGTCAGAAGCTTTCAAAAAACTAACAGTGTTTTAATGTATTTTTGCTGAGTTTTAAAAAAATAATTAAAAATTTTTGACCGTCCAATTGTTTAATAATAACCGTTTAAAGTTCAACAATTTGTAAAAAGTATACATCACTAGTGTCAGATAAAAACAACTTGGCAACGCTGTACGCGAGTATAGATATTATTTCCGCAGTAAATTCAAACGGACTGATTCAGTCTCCAATATATCTATTGGTTGAGCATAAGCGACGTTGCCGGATTAAAACTTATGAAAATATTTGAAAGTATTACGTAAAGGTAACGTCTCCAGGGTACAGTCTTGCGAACAAATTATGAATCACTTAGCTACAAGCTCTTATACTTTTACGGTGCGTATAATCTAAACAATTTTGACAATATTGTACCACGACAACTACCTTAATGGTTGTTTTCATGTTTATTTTAGTGATTATTGGTTTTGTTTTAACAGTTACGATTTTCTTCGGATAAATTTTAAGAGGTGTGATATTTTTTTTTATTTTGAAACTTTTAAAACTTTTGAACCCTTGGCCTAAATTACGGTCCGTGATGGAAAAAGAATTTGTAAGAGGAAGGCAAATTTTTTATCAATAAATCTCCAGAAAATGTACTTTTGGATTATATTTTAGAGAATCTTATGTCGTGTTTATTAAATAAAATATTTCAAGTTTAAATACTGACTTTTATAATTAGAAGACTATAATCTTTTTAATAATAAGATTTTAAATTCAACGTCCAAAAATTTGGACATTAAAATTATTTAAATTCTGTAAATTTATAAAATAAATAATAGCTCCCTTACCTATATAAACATGTTTAACACATGCTCCTTGGCCAGCAGTTCCACACGTTGCTGTTTTCCATGTATCCTGGGGTTCTTCGCATTCCTTATCTTTACACGTGTAGCATTCTACGGGCGTGTAAGCGGTACTCTGTGAAGCGGTGGCTAAAATTAAAAAAAAATGTTTATATTATAGGTATTATATTTTTTGTTATTTTAGTATTTTTATAATTATTGATTAATTTTTTTACCCTTTTAGGTTCAGATAGTTCGGACTGCTCTCTAAAAATAAATTAGTCAAAAAAGACGTAAAAGCAGCCACTAATAATTTTCCTCAACAGCAATTTATATTTCGGACATTTAGCAGTCAATTAATATGTTAAATTGTCCGCTGAATCCGAAAATGTTCGCAAAAGTTATAAAAGTAGAACGGTGTTTAAGATATAGTCAATTTTCCATATAATATGGAATTGACTATATTTCAAAAATTGCTCCACTTTCATAATTTTTGACGATATTTTAGGATTCAGGGGACAATTTTACATAAGAATTGGCTGTTAAATGTCCGTGATACAAATTGCTGTGGACCACAGTTATTAGTAGCTGCTTTTTAACTTTGAAAAGTTTTCAATGAAAACTAATCATTTTGACCAATTCATTTTTAGAGAGTGGAATCCCAGTCTATTAAATTTATTGGAAATAAATTCAATATAACGAACATTTGGTTTTCTTTTTTCAACACTAGCGGAGTTAAATTTATGTTGTACTGACATCTGGTGTTTTGGTACAGTTTATTAATAGTTATAATAATTATAATTAATATGTTAAATGTTTCATGCAGTGCCAAGGTACGAGTTCCACAAGATATGAAACCCTAAAACATTTTGGTGAATTTTTATGGTTTGTATTAAGGCAAATATTAGTTTGCTTTTGAATGGAACAGTGTAAAATTAGTATATTATATAATACAATACTTTATCTACTCCAATAGTAGAAAATTAAATGATTTTCAAAATTAAATAAATAAAAGCTGACATCTGTCAAATGGTTAACTTTACTTTTTACCAATTTTAAATGTTATTATAGTGACGTCTTCTGAACGTCGATTATTATCCATTAATTACGAGAGGTGTTTGGGGGGGAGGGGGTCAAGCCAAACCTCACCCAATCTCACGTGGGGGAGGGTGGTCTCGGCAAATACCACGTAATTTTTTTTTTCCGAAAGAAACAATGTAAATTTTCGAGAAAACAGGTTAATTATGTAAAAAATTATAGGTAAATTGTTCTTTTTTAAATAAATCTAATGGAATCAAGCACAGATTAACTTATTTACATTAAAACTATGCATTTAAAAAAATCTCAAGTGAGATTAAGGGAGGGGTCGAGCAAAATCTCATCAAGGGGGGGTTGAAAAATCGCCAAAATTGCCTCACGTTATTAATAGATGCCCCCTTACCCACCTAGGCCCCTACCTAGTTGCTCGTTTTGAGGACGTAGGTCCAACGTTGGATTCACGTTGCAAATAACGTAGCGTACGCTAAGATTGATTATCGATAATTATAATTATCATTTGCCAGCGTTAGACCAACATCGGTAATCGATTATAATTGAGGGGCCTAGAAGTAAAAGGGTTTAAGTGCATTTTTGTTAGTTCTGAGATAAATGGCTTTAAAGTTAACTTGAATTTTAAAATTCTAGAAAAGAGTTTAAAAAACTGTGTGAATATTTTAGTTTTGTTTAAAGACTAAAAAGGATTATAAAGAAAAAGGAATTTTTCAATTTCGCTGTTTTGTTAATTTTTTTTACAAAAATGTACTTGAATCGTCATGCATGCATGTAAGATAAAATTTAGTAGTAAAATGATTTTTAAAAATGCAATTACTGTACTAGAAATTTTTTTTATTTTTTAAAATTTGGCTAATTATAATATAACTTAAGTTTTACAACAAAAAGTATTATTCATAATCAGAATCTAATACAACGTTTTCTTTATCTGAATTAGCTGGTCTTGGTTGGGGTTGACCTAAATTGGATTTTTTTTTTGGCTCAATACTCAATCTTAGTTTGTTTCTTTTTTTCTTTTTTTCTGATGGATCTCGATCGTGCTCTATGTTTTTATAAAATAAGTGATAAATTGGCGGAATATAGTTCAATAAGATACCTAAGTAAATTTTTGTGCTTAGCGGCTTTTTTTTTAGTTTTTGCTGGAGTTACATGGCCTTCTTCTTCTACTTCTTCATTGATGTCAGGAACATAGTTACTATGTTGAATCCTCATCAGTCTGGACCAATGCCATAATCGTAACGCTGGCCGATGTCGTTCCGACCCCGGTCACACTATGTCGAAACGAGCTACTTGTCAAGGCTTTAGCAGCATAGATAATAGCCTATGTTTAGCAGTAAAAGGTGCACTTAAATCGTTTTACCAAAGATATATTTTAAAATATTTTGACAAGTTTTTAAAGACGATTAAGGGGGAATAATTACTACTTAAGTCCAATTGGATGTCAGTTAAAAATATTTCACCTCTGGGGTTAAAATAGTTATTTATAAACATAGACTAAGCCTAAAATATAATCAACTAACTAGGTAGATACATAAACTCACAGATTATAGACTCAATAATTAACTTTTAAATATCACTGACATTTAATATGTTTTCGTAATCAAAGTTCAATTTAAAATTAAATATAAAAATAAAATGTTTGTTTAGTTTGCGGTATAAATTATTTATTTAAATATCTACAGGGTAAACAAAGTATCCTATATGTGTATTTGAGTATTTTTTTTAATTGAAGGTCTAGACCTATAATAATGTCGATTAAATTAGAGAAAAGTTGCGTAATTACAAGCTTATTAACATAAAATTTATAAATTGAAAAAAATCTTTATAAGTTTGTTATTATTTTTACATCTAAACATTAATCTACATTTCCATACAACTTCTTCGCTACTATGTTTTGGGTTACCATCACCATCTTTTGTTTCTATAATGGCCGCCATAACTTATGTAGTTTAATACCAAGGATTTGTAAAATTCTTGGTTTGATACATCGTTGGATAATCCAACTTGGATTCCTTATTTTTTTTTAAATTAAATTGTATTTTAACCGACCCTATATATTTTTTATTGTCTTTTATAAATTATGTTTAATATTTTTGTTTTACTATAATACGCTAAAATACTGTAACGTTGGTCAAGGTCAAACACCTGGTCTGTTTTAAGAATTATTCTTCAACTAAATAATTATTTAGTATTTTTATATATTTTAAATTATTTTACGATAGCACAAAACAATGTAATGTAATGTAATCACTATAATATTCCTTACAAAAGCGGCAAAATTAGTTGCTTGTTTATAATATTATTTGTAAACATGTGACGTAAGTAATTAATTATTGCTACATATAAACTAAATACATATAAAAAACAAAAAATACTTACAACTAGCAAAAACCGTAGCTAAACACAATAGAAGAAAAAATCTTGCCATGTTTGATTTTATATAAAATACCGTCTTTAGACTTTTGAACGGAGGCAGGCTTTTAAATTATAAAACTGTACTATAATCACGAGACGCTAAATGCCACTGGCGGCTCCTCTTACTGCGCATGATAGCTTAATTGGCAAATGTGCCGCGATTCGAAATGTTAAAGGCACGTTAGTTACGTCATAAAACCAAACCAACCCAAACTCAACAACACAACCCAACCGACCCCTTCCCATTGGCCCCCCCCGCCACATTGAGCAAAAAATCCAACTAAAATGGGCAAATTTATGTTACGATAAAAATAAAACACTTTTTAACAAAGGAACAACAAATTTTTGAAATAAAAAAAGTTCGACAACTTCTAGTAGATTTTATGTTACGATAAATCTAAAACAAACCAACCAACCCAACCGAACCGAACACTGTTTAACAAAGAAACAACAAATTTATGAAATAAAAAAATAAAAAAAAGTTCGACGGCTTCTTAGTATCGAACCCGGGACCTATCGCAGGCCAAGCAACCGCCCTACCATCTTTTTTCTACGATCTGAGCTATCTACGGATTACAATTATAATGTAACTAACGTGCCTTTAACATTTTCAATCGCGGCACATTTCTCAATTAAGCGATCATGCGCAGTAAGAGGAGCCGCCAGTGGCATTTGGCGTCTCGTCTATAATCATCGGTGGAAATACCGAATGTCAGGACCGGAGTAGCCGAGTTAGCTCTAGAACAGCGGTTCCTAAACTTTTTATAGTTCGCTACCTGAGAATTAGATTGTTCTATCTCCCAAAATTTAAAGAGGAACAATTGTATTTAAATAGCAGTTTAAAGTTTAATTTATATACAAATGAAATTTTAAAAAGCTGTTTTTGCGTGTTTAGGTTTTGGGAGATTCTATCTTTTAAAAATCTGACACGGAAAAACAGCTTTTTAAAATTTCATTTGTATATAAATTAAACTTTAAACTGCTATTTGTTCCTCTTTAAATTTTGGGAGATAGAACAATCTAATTCTCAGGTCGCGAGTTGTCGCCGCGAATGTTTCAAATTGCGTCATCAAATTCTGAACCAACAGACGTTACAATTACTGTTGTTTTCTTTTACGTATATAATCCAAGGAACGGTCAGGTTAACCGTATACGTATACATATACAGTCGAGAAATCGGTTTTTGACATTCGACATTGTTGACGCAATTTGAAACATTCGCCACGACGACTATAATAGTCTTGTATACAAATCCACCAGTCGCCACTGCCATATATCAAGGGGTAAACCACTCTAAAATCAGGATTTAAAAGTGGCATACGAATCAACGACCAACCCTGGTTAAAATGTCACATAGAGACCCTGTTTAAACCGATAGATTTTTGTATCGGATTGTACGGTGTTTCTATAGAGTATCCGTATGTATAGGACCCATAGTTGGGATTTATGGTTGTTCTATAGGGATATCCTTCTTTGATTTATTTGCTATCGGTCTCAATAGGGAAAATACACATAAATGTAGAAATTAGTTTTTCTTCCATAGGACCCCATAGGTTTTAACAAAATTTTGTCAAATGTTTTATGGTTGCTCTATAGGAATATCCCTATATCCTTCCTTGAGTTATTTGCTATTGGTCTCAATACGGAAAATGTAAAAGTTATGGTGTGCCTATAGGTAATTTTCTATAAATTTTCTATCGGGCCTTATCCGGAAAAAACATGGACAAATGCACATATCGAGTCCGTTAGCGCCCGATAGATTATTTTTATGGGTCTCTATGGGGTATTTTAAGCAGGGAAGTAAAGAAATCACAAGATTTTTGTAATGAAACAATACAAAATTTTAAACATTTATTTCTTCATCTAAACGGCTTTACATAAAAAATAAATTATAAACAAATTGATACTCTAACAAATACAAAATAAAACGCACCTCTGAATTTAGTTTTTTTAAATTCACATGACACTTTTTTATATTTTATTTAAATGACCTAAAATAAAATTTTTTGGAGCAACAACGCCACCATCGAGAAGGCAAAGGCGTATTGACCGTAGACCATGGTGGAGGAGTTGCAAAGATCTCCTTCGCAAACGTCACATGAGATTTGGGTTCCGCGTTGAGCATTGCATGCGCTGTCGGCAGATTTGATAATACATTTTCTGTCGGTTATCTTATTTTTGTTTGCATCTAAAAACAAAAAAAAAATATATATTTTATTTATATACCTTAGTTTACTGATAAAAATAATTTGTTAGTGTAATGTTACAAAAATCTTTGTGGCAATGTTTATGCAACTTTGCAGCAAACCCAAGCAGCATTTTTGGTTCCAAAAACCATTGCCAAAGTGGTGAAAACTTAAATTAGTTAAGTATACTAAACAGCTACTTTAATTTTTACTTAAAAGTAATTTTAACTTTTAAATAGCAATATTTTGTAACAGTAACTTAATTTTTCCTTAAATGGTTACTATAAAGTAATAAACATTTAAGTAAAACTTGGTTGCCCCCAAGAAGACTTTGCAACTTTAAAAAAGGTGTTATAAGTAAAAAAAACTTTCAAGTAAATTTAATTTGTAGCAGTTACTTTCGGTTGCTACCTAAAGATTACATTATAATTATTGTTACTTTGTAGTCCCTTTCCAAGTTAAAATCTCGAAACTGGAACATGAGTTAAAAACTACAAAGTTAATAACTTAAAAGTTATTATTTTAGTATTTGGAACGTTTATGGTACTAACCAAAACAACCGTAAAGTGGAAAAAACTTTAAAGTAGCGAAAACTACTTCAAAGGAAAATGCTTCTTATCGGCCATTTTTTACTGTACAGTACCACGTGGTAATGTAAATAATAAATTATTTTAATTGTTTGTAAATGGTTGTTTACTTTTTAATAAATAGTAATTTTGTTGGCAATAGACGGTATAACTAATGAAATCAAAAAATTAATAATAAATATTAATTTTTTTTATTTATAAACATTATTAAATAAATAATTTGTTTATACTTAAATATTGATGAAGCGCATTTATTTTACAAAAACTAAATTCATAAGTTCAACAGTAAAATTTAAAGGGTTTATAAATTTACCTGCCTAATTAAACATTATATTGTTATTCTGGAAGTTATAAACTACCAGTACATATTTAATAAACGACGACATAGAAAAGCCAAGTCCGTAGTGGTTCCATTTAAAAAAGGAGGGATAGTATAATCTTATATAAGTTTGACAAAGACAGTTAATATAGAAGTAAAAACAAATAAATAAAAGTAATTATAACGCTCTAGCAACGATACTGGAACGTTCTAGTAACGTAGCAGCTACGTTCCAAATAGTAGCAGGGTTTATAACTATAGTTACATATTTGCTACCTTTTTGGAACTCAATAATTGTTCCCCACTTTAGTCGTAACTTAGTAATAAAAGAGTAATATAAAGAGACCGGCGACTGTCGCAAAACACTTTAAAGTTTCTTCAATAGTCCCATATACGTAACAAATACTTAAATTGCCTTATGTCCGGCTCAGCAACAATTTATTTGAAATGTTACAATTGCAAATAAAATGTCCCTACACGTTCACGATCAACCTAATGTAATATTTGGAATGAAACTTTGCATAACACTTTATACAAAGCAACATTGCAAAAATCACCTTAATGTAACATTTCGGATAAAACATTGCCCAAAAATGTACTATTAGTATTGCGATGTTTCGAAAACTTCCTGATCGCTGCAAAATAAATGTTAGTATTGTATATCTATTTAAAGTAAAATTGCACAAAATTTTCATTTGGTTTGGTTTTAATATTTTATAAGTATTGATAAAAACTTATTTTTGGAATATTATAATTGTAATGTTTAAAAACTTTTATTAAACATTTCGTACTAAATGTTATGAATGAAACATTTCAAAATATTTCTATGTAAATTTTTAAATAATGTTTTAAATTTAAGTTTGATGGAAATTATTATATGCAACATTTCAAATGTAACAATTTATTAATGTTAATGCTAGTAGCAAAAAAATATTTTATCTGTAAAGTTGGCGAACATTGCAGCAATATTTTGTAATGTTTCTTTCCCAGTGGGATAAGTTATAAGGATTTTGATGTTTCAATTGGTTGGCTTACCAACCGAGCATATAAGCTCAGGGAGTCGTTTGTTTTGAGTGTGTTCCACCACACCAAGTTGCCCGACACTGATGCTGTCTGTCGGTATTTGACATTAGTGGAACGCACTCAAAACAAAAAACTTTGGCGAGGTGTAGGTTCAATTTTTTCTTATGAATATTACAGCAGTAAACTGAATGTTTAATTCAAATTTCGCTTTTTAAAGGTACATTTTTAAGTGATTTTCAAGAAGCAAAAAATGGTCGCAGAGCAATGTTTATCTAGTTTTAAAAAGTGAACGTTTTGAAGCTAATAGCTGTTAAAAAAACTTTTTTTGTAGGTAAAGTGCCTTTCATATGGGATATAAGATTAAATATTATTATAAAAAGTTGTTTAGAATTAACATTTAGACCTCTAGCAAATTTTAAAGTTCTTGGCCAACTTTAATTTTTATTTTTTTTTTTACCTTTTTTTGTGTGACTTTAATTATATTTTAGGTCCATATTTCTTGGCCACTTTGATTTTTTAAAAATCTAGGTACCGTAAACACGGGTGACTGTGCACCCCGCGGCGCAAGGGACTTGAAAAATCTTTTCGCGCTCGATAAAATTAACATTTATAACTTGTTGGTCTAAACCTGTCAATTGAGCGATTCTATTGAGTTTATATTACAGGAAAATCAGTGTTTTAAAGAAAGAAATGGGATTTATTACACTTTAAAATTGTATAATATACAATGTATATATCCGATATATTATATCGCATCAGTGCAAAACTCTTAGAAATTCACGCGTTACAATTTCTATATTAGGCGCAATTCTTTGTAATGATGATCCTTGGTTAACTACAGGTCGATTTTTTATTTTTTTATCGGTAATCCCTTGCAATAAATATATGTCTCTGCTAAAACGGGTCTAATAAAAATAAAATAAAATATTGAGTTAATTTTATACGGAAAATACACTGTGAGACAAAGTTACCCGCAACCAGGTAACTTTGCACACCCAGTTTTTAATTTTAATTTTTGAAACTCAGCCCTATGTAATATTATAACATAGTTATTATGAAAAAGCAACTCAAGACTCAAATTTTGGTATACAAAATTTAATGTTTATGATTGTTAAAACCACAAAAATTTTAAGCTTAAGTTTAAAAGTGAGCCAAAGCCACCCGTGTTTACGGTACCTAAGTAGTAAAAAATTAAAATTAAAGTTGGCCAATAAATTTGAAATTTGGTATATTTACCTAAATTATGATTCTAAACAACTTTTGTTTATAATATTTTATCGTATATCCCATATGAAAGGCACTTAACCCACACAAAAAGTAGTGCTGCAGGTGCAGAATTTACCCTTAAGGGTAAATAAATAAATAACCCGCTGAACTGTGAACGGGAAATTCGCGTGCAACTTTCCTTATGATCTTCCTACTATTTGCATGAAAGGCATTGAAAATAGCTTCTTTATTTTCACTTCAATCTCGTTACAACGCAGAACAACTTTACAGTCCAGGGGACAATCGGGAAAGCGCTGGGAAAAAACTCATGCTGCTTCCCTAGCATTGCCTCCATACTTCCCATAAGTAATCAGGTCTTGGGACGGGACGAAAATGGCAATGGAAATGGGACGGGAACGAGACAGGAACGGGAAAGAAACAATTAATTTTTATAGACTTTTCTTAAAACCTATGGTTTTTATAAATATTTTATAAATATTTGGTTTACCTTCATATACGTGTTTTACACAGGCAACATTTTGTCCGGTACACGTGCTGGGCTTCCATTGGTCCATAGCTTCAGGACATCCCGAACAATGGTAGCATTGTAGAGCATCACCTAAAAATTTAAAATTATTTAAATAATTTAATATTTTTTTTATATTTGTATTACATAATAAGCACAGTACGATACGCATTTGCGTTTCGGATTGTTTCCATGGCGACATAAGCAAATATAATTTATAATTCAATTTTTTCTTAAAATTTTGATAAATAGAAAAAATAGTATAAAAAACTCATAAGACATTTTTAAAAATTACGACATTAGTTCTTTAATAAGTGATTTTACTTAATTTACTATTTATATTTTTTGTTCAAATAAACTGTTAAATGTTTAAAGACAAATTAAAACAAAATTTTAAGTTGAGAAAAATTTAATAGGATAATTTAAAAGTAGGTACCTACTAATAAAACTAATAAATAAATAAAAAAAAATATTAAAACAAAATCTATAAATTAAGGCTTAATTTTATAAAACAGGACTATTTTTTTGTGAAAAATATAAATTTCCCAATCAAGTATCCCAGCAAAGAGATAGACGTCGAGTGACATCTTCTGAACGTCGATTATTGGTCATTTTGGACGAAATACGTCAAGTACCAAAATAAGACGTCATTTTTATGACCGTTAAAAAAGGAAACAAGGTAGATACAAAATATAGCGAATAAGCGGTATATGTGTGGAAGTATATGAAAATTTGCTAGGACAGGCACATATCAAGAAGACTAAAAAAGGAGGAGTAACTCTCGACCACAAATCGTATAAATAAATGATAAAATGTGCCCACAAGCATCTTGCCCATCGGTAGGTTACCATTTAACTACCCACTGCTGATTACGTTATATGGCGTGACTCCTTTATTTAGTATTCTATAGGTATACCTATAATAAATAAAATTGATTATTAAACAGTGAACTGCTGGCCTATAGGCATATATGCGTGTAATTAATTAATAAAATATTAAAGAATTTATAAAAGTTTCCATATCCATATCAGCATAGTTTAATTAAAAAGAGGGGAAAGTGGATTCTATAGAATCCACTAAAATACTATGAAAATTTTGTACCTTTATACGTGAATTAGATGACATCATATTATAATTCCGCTTTGGTTTTGGGGTTTAATTTTTAGACCACAATATATAATATATTATAATATATAAATATTTATGAAAATTCAAGAAATTATATTAATGTAAGGGTCATAGTAGGCTGACGTCATAGGCGAAATGAAATTATTCAAATGTCAAATAATAAACTAGTATTTAATAATTAATGTAAAGAATATACTAGCGCGACAAGATTTTGCCATAAAAAACTTATATACCTTAAAATAAAAAATTAGAGGTTCTACGCTTAAGGTGAGTTTAAAAAATGTTTAAAATATGCCAAAAGGTAGTTTGTCATTGTACCAAAATATTTTCACGTTACAATAAAAAAGAACATGTAGATAAAATGCTGCAAAACAGGTCCCAGAAAATTCTCAAAGAGATCAATGGTCCATGGACCATGGATGTCAGGACCAAGAATAATGAAACGCTTAAATAAAATTAATTATCAAATCAAAATTTTGTTTTAATTTATTAAGTACAAGGTTTTCAATTATTAAGTACAATAAATGTTCAATTAGTCATCAATTAGATGTTAGAAATGTCCAAGGGGAGCCCCTTGGACATTTTGACACAAAAATAGTCTGTTTCTATTTTCAATGCTCACATTTGAAAAAGTTTCTTGTGTAATATTTGCACATTCAATTTGTTTGAAGCATGTTTAAGTACAAGATGCCTATTAAATTTTCTTCCAAAAAGATAGATTCTACAATATGGTTTTCCACATAACAGAACCATACATTGACTTTTTGTGGGTACTGGGTATGACCTTCACGAAAAACATTTTGATTAACATCTATTAGATGTTAATTAGATGCAAAATGTACGTTACTGGTTAAACCAGTAACGTACATTTTGCAGATTTAAAGTGCCTTTTAGGAAAAAAATGCATTCATTAAAACAATGATTGCAAGAACAGGGGATTTTGTATTATGCGGTTACACATAACTTCAAAAAATTGTACTCTGGTCATCTTCAGTAAGTAGATGTAATATTTTTAATTTATAGGAATAAAATTTGTTGTTTGTTTTGCTACATCATAATCCCCGCCTTCGATTGTTGTGAATTATTGATGACGGCACCGATTATTTCTATTTGTCTTCTGAGATTGATTTTTTTACCCGATCCTTTCTGCCTACACACACTTCCAGTTGTTTAAAATTTAGTCACTAACTTCCGTAGATATTTTTTGCAAATAGGGTTGTCTGGGTACCTTTTATTAAATACCTTCTGGGAAGGTCCTTCTCTGCTTGGAGCAAATTACGTCCAACTTAAAAATTTCTTATGTTTATTTTAAATTAAATGGCGATACAGATTTCCGATAATTCGCAACCGATTGGTTGCTATGCAACTCGTATAAACGAGGTTTTTCGTAAGTAATGTCATAAGGGCATCTAATTTTTCCGAAAAAAATCGAAAAAACACGTTGCTAAGTAATATTTTAACAAAACGCATGAGTGCTGGTGGCAACAAAAATCGAAGACGAGATGCCCGAATGGTATTTGACAAGACTATTTCATGAGTAACAGTAAACAATTAAAATATAAATTGAAATTTTTGGTGACAACAGCTGTCAAGTTTTGCCGCGGGTAAACTCGAAAAAACTGCTGACAGGTGCTGTCATACAGTTTTTTCACCTAGAAACCATTTGTAATTCAAAATTGCGCGTTTGTGATTGGTTGAAATTAAGACGAGGGAAATAGTCGTAAGTAATATCATAAGGGCATCTAATTTTTTCGAAAAAAATCGAAAAAACACGTTGCTAAGTAATATTTTAACAAGAAGCATGAGTGCTGGTGGCAAGAAAAATCCGAGTCGAAGAGGAGGATTTTTGCACCTGCACGAATGCTTTTTGTTAATAAATATTACTTAGCATTGTGTTTTTTCGATTTTTTTCACAGGAAAACTTAGATGCTCGAATGGTATTTGACAAGACTATTTCATGAGTAACAGTTATCAATTAAAACATAAATTGCAATTTCTGGTGACAACAGCTGTCAAGTTTTGCCGCGGGTAAACTCGAAAAAACTGCTGACAGGTGCTGTCACACAGTTTTTTCACCTAGAAACCATTTGTAATTCAAAATTGCGCGTTTGTGATTGGTGGAAATTAAGACGAGGGAAATAGTCACCTAAATAGTACTTTTATCGCTGAAAACTGAAATCTGATTGGTCCATAAAGTAATGAGTGGAATAGTCGCTGCAAAACTGAAAAAACCTCTCGTTTTCTGAAATCTGATTGGTCCATAAAGTAACGAGTGGATAGTCTACAAAATTTTTGAATATTTTAAAAATTAGTTTCTCTTTTAAATATTTGCTTTTCTGTTGTCTGATAGTGTATACCTACTTGGTGTTAACGTATCATTAATGATAAATTGACAAATGCAGTGGTTGTTCAGTACAAATTAAATGGTAGGTACCTATATGTTTATTAATAGTATATTATTATACGAGAAATAATTTGCATAATCTCAAGTGTAATACTATACTTTTAAAGATAATATCTACTCCAATAAGTAGATAATTAAATAAAATTACCAATTTTAAATGTTATTATAGTTGCCTTCTCCCAATTTAAAAACCGATTGGTTCAAATCACAGTGAATATTGAAATCAGCCTATCACTGATGCCTAGCAGTTAAATATGAGAATATTATGCAATAGGAGTAGATAAAGATACATACATATATGTATGTATACGTATTCCTACTATAGATAGTGCATTATAATTATAATTAAAAAAGTACATAATTCGTAAACAAACAAAATTACTTTCAGGCAATCCATTAACATGTAATCTAACAAAGTAGGTAGTTTCTTTGTTTATTCCTGATTGATGCGGAAAATCGTTAAATCGATTTTCCACCCCTTATTTTGACAAGACTATTAGGCGCCAAAAACTATAATGTTGAAAATACGAGTAAAGGGTTTATTTTGGATTTACATTTTTTATATGTTTTTTATATATTTCAAAAAAAATTATTTTAAATGTAAACAATAAAAAAATTGCTGAAAATGCAAAGCAAAACGTTAAATATCAATTACAAATTTCCTGAATATTACAATTAAATTATTAAAAATAAATGTTATTTAGGATTTAGACCCTAAATAACATTTATTTTTAATAATTTAATTGTAATATTCAGGAAATTTATAAATATAGATATATATATATATATATATATATATATATATATATATATATATATATATATAGTGATTTTGCTATGTTTACATTAGGGCCAAACCTAATTTCCTATAAAAGAATTAGAACAACCCAGAGTTTCTATTTAAAATTACTTACTATAATAAAGGGTGTCCCATTAAGACCGCCTATTTTAAATTTAGTGTCATTTTTTTTGTGTCAATCGTACAGCGTTGTTGTTGGACAGTGGTCATGTGTGAACATTGAGGTTAAGTCATGGAGATTTACACGGCCGCACAACCCATAGAAATTGTAAAAATCCACTATCGAAATGGTGAGAATTTTTCGGAAACGGTTTGAAGATATCGTGAATTTTTCGGTCACCATATCGCACCTTCTCGCCGTACTGTGGTCCGATTAATCGAGCAATTTAAAACGATTGGGTCAATTCAAACCAAAAAGAGACATGTCCGTCCTCGTGCATCTCGGTCTGCTGAAAATATTGCAGCAGTTAGTGAAAGTGTTGAACATAATTCTTCCACCTCAATTCGCCACTGTTCCCAGCAATTGAGACTCTCCCGAAGCAGTTTACAGCCAATTTTGGCCAAAGACCTGCATTTTCATGCTTACAAGATTTGGTTGACACAATATTTAAAGACAGCAGACCATGCACAGCAACAAAACCATGGAATTATTGAGGACAAAATTTAAAGGGAGAGTTATCTCGCGCCGCGAGGATGTGATGTGGCCAGGCCGACCATGCGATTTGACGCCGTTTGATTTTTTTCTTTGGGGTTTTTTGAAGGAAAAGGTTTATGCTAATAACCTAAGAGCAGTTCCTAAACTAAAACATGAGATTCGACGGGTCATTGATGAAATTGAGCCGGCACTATGCCAAAATGTAATCGAAAATTTTGTCAAAAGAATCAATGTGTGCCGTCAGTCACGAGGCGGCCATTTATCGGATATTGTGTTACACATTTAACCTCCATGTCTCCTCTTCTTATTGCAATAAAAATATCTTAACTTTTTAAATAAACACTGCATTTTTTTTTAATTTTAAAATAGGCGGTCTTAATGGGACACCCTTTATTATAACATAAAATAACTAAATATATACTTACATGAGTAGGCAATCGCTAAAAATACGAAAACTATAACGAATTTCGACATTTTTTCTGTTTTTTATTATTGTAGGTAGGTACCGTTAAACGAACTAACTGTGACTTACAGAACAAGCTATGTGGAACTAGGCCTGCATGAGTTGATGGTCGCTGCCAAAGAATTAACATGCAGGTCCGTACCTAACTATTTACCTTCTATAAAATTTAGACTATTTATATAAATGTTATTTTTTTATAAAAATTTGTTTTATCGTTTTATAAATATCCTAATTGCTCTGTTATAATTGCTGTATAAATTAATTGATTCCAAAAGGTTCAATAAATTAACACCCAATCTGGTCAAATTTATTTTCATAACGAATCTCCTGAAAATGTGTTTTTGTGATTTATTTTAATTGACTAAAAATTAAGTTTATTGTAAAAGATTTCGAGATCGAAACAATACAATTATGACCTATAGAATATAAAACAAAGGACCTACGTTTTGAATGTAGTAAGTATACAAATTTATACAAATATATTTTCTTTAACTCCTAAGAGAAATTTGTTGGCTTCTTGGAAAATGGTGAATGCAAAATAAACTAAAAAACCACGAGCGCGTTTTAGTTTTATTTTTTATTATTTGGTATAAAATTATATAAAAAAAAATAATGCAAAAAAATCTATATTTGTGACGGGATCCAAAAAGGGACCTGGTGTCCAAAAACTGATTTTCGAGATAATCGATATTTTAAGTAGAGTGGTAAACGATTTTTTAAAGGTCCGGATAGAATTTGTTTATCTAAAAAATTGACAATGCTATTAATCGCTTCTCCTATAAAACTTGATTTTGGACACAAGTTACAAAATAATTAAAGTTATTTACTTTCAAATATTTAATAAAAGTAAAATTAATTTTAGAAAGCTTCCAATTATTTATTTCGCATGCAATTTAAACAGAACAATACAACCCTGATTTATTTTTATTTAACAGTGGTATTTTAAATATATCGATGATTTAGCCGGTGTGTAAATAAATTTATGCAACAACCACAACAATAATAATAATACCCACTAATGACGATAGCAGTCGATGCTCCAAACTTTTTCGGAAATTGTAAACTATAGTTTACAATTTCCGAAAAAATTGAGCCGCAGAAAAAAACGTTTAAAAAAACGAAAATAGTGAAATATTTTTCCGTAGAACGAATTGAAATTTTTCTTCAATTTTCTGAATTTTGCATTTTTTCTCGAATTTCCCGAATTATCCGTACTACGGATTCTACCTACGGATAATAAAGAAAAATGTAAATAAATTGTTCTGCAAATTATCCATTTTTTTGTTTTAAATGCTCTAAAAGGCTCTAACAACAAAAATAAAACGTATAATTTATCAGTAGCGTACTTACTAATATCTTAAGATAACAGTAATATCTTAAGATAAGAGTAATAAACTAGGCCATTTAAGTAAGGTCTATAACGCATTTATAATTGGCATAAACAATTTCTCCCGACCATTTTATAGGACCTCAAGTTATATAAATTAGTGATGATTATCTTTCTAAACCTAATATAAAACTAAAAATGTTACTTGGGATATATGTATAAAAATTATTTTTTCGACAAGAAGTTTTTAAAATATTAAGAATTTAAGTTTAAAAAACTCGGCAACGCTAAAAGTGATTTTTTTATGTGGTGTTATGTATCTTTCAAAACTTATTTTGAAAATCGGTCTTCTAAATGCATAGAAGATTTTTATGGTCCATAATGATCTCCTAATTATAAATAAATCATTGACAAATTGAGAACTCAATTCAATGTCAATTGATTATTATTTATTTATTATTATTGTGATAGATCGCCAAATGCTTGAAAGACTGGTCCTTATAATATGGTCTATAGACCATTCTTCATAATGAATTTATATTAAAACTCAATGCCTGCTTTTTTTTTAAATAAGTCGTATGCTCTTAAAAAACACTCTGTTATATTATTTTATAAATTTGTGTTAACACATATTAAAAAAAAACAAGTTTGTTGTCCAGTGTAAAAATAATTATTCGCTACTATTTGCAGATACGCCCCCTATCAAGGTCAAAATACATATGTACATTGTTCATATATTCATAACTAATGCTTATTAGCGGTTGTTATTTTTTAAAACTTAAAACAATCACAAAAATTTTGTTTAATTATGTGTAAAAGATTGTTAAAAATAACTTATTCAATGCAATATTTATCAAAAATTACTCATAATATCTATATGGTTATTTTACAAGGTTTTTAAAGACGGTGATGTCATGTGTCTATTTTTATGCACAATGCTTGAGTAATTTTGTTTCAAACATAAAATATAGAAAGCCTAAACGCAAGAATAGGCAACCAGATTTGCCGACTAAAAAAGGAGTGTTAAAGCACAGGTCAGTAATAAAACCAATTGCATTGAAAAAAACTAAATTTTAATTAATTCAAAATGGAAAATATAACATGGATATACTTTGTAAAACTTGTATAGTAGAAATTGTAGATATTGGTAACAAGAAATAGGTATATGTATATAATATAAAAATAGACAAATTTGTATTAAAAACCAACAATTTTCTTCAAGTTTCTTTCATTTACACTTAAGCCAAGCTATATGCATTTATATGCTATATTTATATGCATTTAGGGTACTAAATTTATGCGCGAAACCATTGGAAAATTGCCGTTTTTAATTAGTTTTTAGATTTTAACATAATTTCCAATTTAAACCAGCAATTGTAAAAATAATTCAAAATTATGCTTTAATCTAAACATTAATGAATCTATGGAGTTTTTGGTCTACAATTTAAATAAAAAATTAATAAAAATCAAACAACATACTTTGGAAGTAAAAGGATATTATATGAAACACTAAATATAATAACCTACACACTAAATTGATTTGATCAATTTATTGTTCAAAAAACGACATCATGACAACCTTGCACCATGTTGGTCTTTTGTTACTATTTTTCTTTGGTTTTATTGGTAGATACAAGCAAGGCTTACTATGACATCGCTTTTGTATTATTATTTTTATTATAAATACCTACTGAAAGACATTGAAAGCTAACACCTGTCGCTAAATTCAATACATCCGAAATAACACACATTTCCTTAAATATACTGAATATCGTAACATGCCCATATATTTTAGTTAAATTCTACTCACAACTTTTTTACAGTAAGCTACGGTACGTTCATATTTCGCATTAAATAAATATTATACACTTATTAGTAGACACCCAATAGTAGTTGTGCCAATGAATATCTACGCCCCAAGAATCAGTTAAGTTAAAAAATGCATTTTAGATGGGTTTTTGTCGTTTTGAAAGCCCTTCTTTCTTAACGTTAATTAAGAAAATATTATACATTATTTTTTTTATTGTAGTAGATATTTTAAAATGGCAAAAATCCATGACAAAATTGACTTCTTATCTGCACAGATTCCTGTGATTCGCTTTCGTTGACACGATGTATTTCTTTTAGTTGAGTTTCGGTTATCTTAGAAGAGGAATGCCACGATGGCGACCGCCAAGGCGACGAAAGAGGTGGCTGCGAATTTGGGCGCCGAGTTGCACTTGTCTTCGTTGCAGGTGCTGCAGGTGGTTTGCAGGTTCTCGTTGTTCTGCAGGCTGCTGAAGAAGCCGGCGCTCTTCACGATGGCGTTGCACACGCCTTCGCCGATGCTGGGCATGCAGCCTCTGGCTACGTATTCTTCGCCTTTTTCGTCTAAAAAAATAATAAATATTAATAACCAGTTTATTTTACACCCGCGGAAAATTTCGTTTTAATTTTGAAGTGAAGATCTTAAAAGGGTCCTTTTTAAAATAATAGTATATTATGCATCAAGTTGGATAAACGCCATATTATAGAAAAGTTTATAAAGGAGGTGCATACTATACTTTTTCTACGACAAATACTTATTATTATCTTAACACGTTCGCGACGTAGCCGATTTCGGGAGTGTTAATGCACAGCCGTATTCTGAATTCTGTAGTTTTTAAATGGTAGACAAAAATCATTAGAAAATCAATGAAAAAATTGTCCAATCTAGAACCGCATGTACCACGGGTCATGTACCACCTTTACGTACAGCCGTAATTTGTTTTCTAAGCTTTCCATGCAGCCGTTACGTTTTTAAATAGGATTATATTTAAAGGACGTCGTGCGCCACCGATGGTACATGACGGCTGTTGGGATCAGCCGTCATGTACCACCGGTGGCGCACGACGTCGCGAACGTGTTAAAATGATTTAAATCAAACATTTGTATAGAGCGCCATCTATGAAACAATAGGGGAATCTGTGTGTCACCGTCAAATGTCAAATTTTTACATTTTATAAACACAGATTATAAAGGTTATAAATCGAAATGTATTTCTTGAAATTGGATAGTATCTTAGATACTTTTTAAAGTATCTTGTAACTAAAGATACTTTTAACTCAAAGTATCTAGTTACCAGAGGTAACTAAGTTATTTTGTTTAAAGTATCTTAGAAAAGTAACTAGTAACTACTTTTCAGAAGTAACTTTCCCAGCTCTGCGTAGCGGTACGTTTTACAAAAAATAAGTGAATTGTAAATTAAACATTTCCTACAATTTATCCTGCAACAGCATATGTTTATCACCCACCGTTTAGAAGGGGTTGCGTCTCAAAGTTGACTACTTTTGAAAAAACATGTTTTGTTCCTCAACTGTAAAGGAAATGAAGCAGAAAACCTAGGACAATTAATCGAAAATGTATGACTGATTTTTTAGTATAAGTTTTATTTAAGGGCAATTGCAAATTTTTGAAATACAGGGTGATCCACCATAAAACACCTTTTTTATATCATCTGAATGGCTAATGCCAGCTTGTTCAAATTCTCTTTTTATAGGGTCTTAAATTTCAAATTTCAGCATTTTTTATGCATTTTTGCGGATTTTACAGTATAAAAATGACACAAGTAGTAATTTCTAGTTTTAGAATATTTTCGAAATTAAACAGTCAAAATTGACACATAGAACTAAGTTAACATTTTTTATTAAAAGAAAATAAAAAAAATACGAAATTAGGAAATAAATTGATATTTTGAATAAGAGCCATTTTTTTTTTAAATTTGAAAATTTAAAAAAAAAATATAAATATAATAATAGTTACGCAATTTTTGAGTATTCATTTAATTTTTTGAACTGTTTCATTTCCATTGTTTAAAAAGTGTTGAAATTTTAGATTTTTTTTTATTTTTTTGGGTTTTACTTTAGACCCTCAAAATATGAAGCAAAGTATTTTATATATTATATATTAGGAACAAGATATTCTAAAAAGTTTTTCGAAATATCACATATGTGATATTTCGAAAAACTTTTTAGAATATCTTACATATGTACAGGGTGATCCCCTATAATGTCGCCCCCCTTTAACTTTTTTATTTAAAAGTGTGGTTATGTAGGAACTAAAAAATACTTTTTTTCTACGTATAAAGAAAATTGAAAAATTGATCAGTATACAGGGAAAAACAAAAACTTTATTTTTTTTCAATGGATCACCCTATATTTGAATTTATTTTTCGATTCCTTGTAAAATTCTGAGCATAATTTATATACAAACCATATACCTAAATTCAACCGTTTCTGAAATATTCGCATTCGAAATGTCATCATTAAATGTTTTTTTAAACTGTTAAAAATCAAGAAGCCTCAGTATACCAAAATTTTTATTGAAAATAAATTACTATAGTGACATTATGTCAATAAGTGTTGTTAAATAAGTAAAAATGGCGTACTCAGACAGAGAAAGACAAACTATTTCAACTTATTATCTTAAAAATAATTTAAATATTTCAGAAACGGTTGAATTTAGGTATATGGTATGATATATGAAATATGCTTAGAATTTTACAAGGAATCGAAAAATAAATTCATATATAGGGTGATCCATTGAAAAAAAATTATCTTTTTGTTTTTCCCTGTATACTGATCAATTTTCCAATTTTCTTTATACGTAGAAAAAAAGTATTTTTTAGTTCCTACATAACCACACTTTTAAATTTTTTGGGACACTTAATATAAAAATGTCAAAGGGGGGCGACATTATAGGGGATCACCCTGTACCTATAAATATGGGGTAGGCATATACCCCAAATATTTCACGTGAAATCTTATTATTTTATTTTTTTTATATATTTTTTTCGACTGGTTTAGGCATAATGGTCGGATGAAACTTTTGAGGTTTAGAAATTTGACAAATTTCATATCTATACCTATGTGAGAATAATGAATGCAAGCGTTTTATTCAACTTTTTGCATATTTTTTATTATTTGAAATTCTTGCAAAATATTTTTCCCGGCTATTTTTAGTAAAAAAATTATTTTAATATGAGGTATACGCCATTTTTTATTTTTTTTCAAAATTGTTTCTTAATCCTTATAAAATTATAAAAATTTTGAGATGTAGTGAATAGAAAGTTTTTTTCTTATTTTTAAGCAAGGAGTTATTTGAAGGAAGGAAAATTAAGTAGTTGCTTCCTAATATCGAAGATAATTTTCGATAAATTATGTTGTTTTGGTGGTGTTTTGATAAATGAAAAAGTATTTTACTTTATTTCCCCAATTACAAAATCCAAATAAACGTTTGATATGATCATTATAATCACAATCCACATGATTATAATAACATATGCTGTAATAATTATTATTATAGTCCAAGAGAATTTTATTATAGTCCAAGAGAATTTTAAAATATTATTTTCAATTTTTATTGTAAATATAAATAGTCCCACGACAATAGAATAAAACAAAAATTTATTTTGAGGAATTTAATCAATTCTGAGAATTGATAGATATTTGTACAATCTGTTTGCAACTCGTTTTTCCGTATTTACATATATTTAAAGTTATTTTGTATAAGTCATGCTAACTTTTATAGCATGATTCACTTATATCGAATTTTTGTCCCTTGTTTGTGATTACAAATGCAATAAATCCACTTTCAGTGAATTTTGAGTAAATCGAGAAAATAAATAGGTGTCTTAAATATTTTTGAAAATGGTTGTGGCGATGCATTAATACTAATTAGTAAAAAAAATTATATATATTAAACTTATTTTTAGTTATTCAAAAGTTATATATATATATATATCTAAATTCTAAATTAATTCGTTTTGGCATACTTAAAATACTTTTAAAAATTGATATAATTAACATTTTAAAATATGCTATGCATTTAATAAATAAATAAAAAAAACAAAATAAAATATCTTTTAATAATATACGTGTGGTATACGTGCCGTATCATATAACTGCAAATCTAAAGGAAATTTGATATAGGAAATTATTTATCACAAATCCTATTGCAACTGCATTTTGTCGAATAATGCACCTTAAAAATAAATTTAATTTGTGCTCTGTATACAAATGTTATTACTAAAACATTTTAATTAACTAATTAGTTAATTTAAATTTTTAATATATGTATGTCGCCTTGACATGTCATGCAATGAGTTTTATTAGGTTATTTCAATTTACAATGCTTTCTTACAAAGTCAGATATACAGGGGGTTTAAAAATTTATCTGCGAAAAATTTAGAACATTTATAATTATAATAAGTATTATTATAATTTAAATTAACACCGCCACTTAATCACCGCAGTTGTGCAATTTTTGTGGTTAACCTTTCATAAAGATGCATAATTTAATGGATTGGATCATTTTTAAAAATACAAAAACATATCAGTTGACCTCATTTCTTAGTTTACTCTAATAAAAATTGCAAACAATGAAAATTGACACAGTTATACTTCCTCTTACAAGCGTATATTTTCCTAAGGTTGTTTAGTTATATTTAGTTTAGTTTTTTAAAGAATATTTATGAACACCACCCAACAATTTAATTTAATTAAATAAAACATTTTTTAAACGTCGAAAAAGATTAAATTAAGATAAAAAGATGAATTAACGACACGCGAGAATGCTTTTTATGTATAATTTGTTTTTTAATAATTAAAGTACTTTTCCTAGTTAGGTATATTGATTGTTTTGTAATGTTAATAAGGTTTACTTTTTTTAGTCAGTAAATATATTTTTCTACAATAATTAATATTAATATTAATTTTTTGTGCAAAATTAATTTTTCTGGAGCTACAAAAATTTATTCTGTCAAGTTATCCATAAAAAAATATTGAAATAAAATTAAATTTATAGTAAAATTGTATAAATATGCTTGGTTTTAACAAATAAAAAACGCAATAGAAACTTAAAACAACAATGAAACAAAAATAGAGAATTCCAAAAATTATATAATTCTATAATTGGATTTTCGTCACAACTACTAATCCACCATTTATTTCAATACACTTTCATATTAAATTTTGTTCTGGAGTAATGCCTGCGCAGGCTTGTATTATCCGTAGTTCTTGTTTAGTAGAGGTGAAGAAAATTTAATTATAGAGAATTTTTTGAATTCTTTATTTTTTGTTTCATTGGCATTTTAAGATTTTGTCAAAACTAAGCATAGGAATATTTATATGGATAATTTTTGTAAATAGTAATTGCTTATTTTTAATTAGGTACAAAATCGTTGCGTATATTTTTTTTTAATAAAATTAAGTATATATACCCGACCCTATAGGGTCGTTTTGAGGGGTGGTGAACCTAGTGTCGTGCATAGATTTTTTTTAATAATCAATAACACGAATTCTTTATAATGTAGATACTAGACTGGTCGTAAAAAAATTTTTTTCAACCGCCGGGCGAAAAAAGTTTTGTTTTAGCCTAAATATGTCTCATTTAAAATTTCGTAGTTATAAGATAATATTTAGTGGCCGCGCCCAGGCAGGTAAATATGAAAATACGGAAAATATTAATAAAAATAATATTTTTAAAACAAATTTAATTATGGCGTAGTAAACTTATTTTTTATGTATAAATTAGCATGGGAAGACAATGACGACTATCAAGAAGCTTTCGATTTTTGTCGTGGTTTGTAGTCAATGATATTGCTGAACGCGGTGTTAAATTCATGAAAGACTACAATAGAATTTTGACTCAAAATGAAGAACAGAAGCAATTTGTCTTTCAGTTTGTTGAAGCATATCGCAAGAAGTTTCCTTCCTGTAACAAAACCGCACTTAAGTAATTTAATGTAAAATATTCACGAACCTTTTTTAATTTCTAACCGAATTTGGACATTAATAGCTGGTAAATTTTCACTTTAGCGACTTTTCCGAAAAACAGCAGGAAAGTTGCCAAAATGCCAAAAATATGGATGTAAAAGTGCATAAACAATCGGCGCAGGGTGAAAAAGTTGTATAATTATCGCGTAATTAATAAAAAAATGGGCTGATAACCGTGATTTTCTGTCAAAAAGAACATGCAGCGAGCCAAAAACACTTATCTAATAGACGTAGAATTTGAAAGTGGAAGTGAAAAAGCGTGAATTATGAAAAACAACGTCATAAATTGCGGAAAATGCAATTTTTAAAATCAGGTAATTTGAGGTTATGACGATTAGCTGTCATCTTGGTTATGCAGGTACACTAAAATGGGCAAGTGAGTGAAACCAACCCAAAATTAACAACCCAACCCAACCGACCCCGCCCCATTGAGCAATAGAGGTATAATATATCTAAGGGCAGGCTGGATTGTGAACCTGCATAACCTCAAATTATCTGATTTTAAAAATTGCATTTTCCGCAATTTATGATGTTGTTTTTCATAATTCAATCTTTTTCACTTCACTTTCAAATTCTACGTATATTATATACGTGTTTTGGCTCGCTACATGCTCTTTTTCACAGAAAATCACTGTAAGTCACTTCAATTATCAGCCCCTTTTTTATTAATTACGTGATAATTATACAACTTTTTTACCTTGCACCGATTGTTTATGCACTTTTACAACCCTCCACACCTATTTGTTGCATTTTGGCAACCCCCATGTCATTTTTCGGAAAAGTCGCTAAAGTGTAAATTTAATTAATAGCTTTTTGTGTGAATGTTGTTCTATGAACCATTTAACGGAATATTTATTTCTTTGATTAATTTAAGTTTTGTGCATGCATTCACTCATAAACAATCCAAATAAAAACAATTTTTTGAATATTTTGTATATTTAAATTTCCTCACCTGGGCGCGGCTAGTAAATATTATCCGATCGACACCAAAATTTAAATAGAAAAGTTTTAGGTTACAAAAAAACTTTTTTTGCCCGGCGGTTTAAAATCAGAAAAAAATAATTGAATTACCAACCAGTCTAGTAGATACTCTCAAAAACTGATAGCAGGTATTTTGCAAAAATATGGCGTTTTTTGCTTCAAAAAGTTTATTAAGATCTATACTTTAAAACAAATCCGGTGGTGAGTCGCAAACGAATGGGCCCAACTGTATATTATAAAATAAAAATAAATAAATTTAAAAGCATCTTAATGTATGAGAAACCAATAAAATTGCAGAAAATTTAAGGAAGAAATAAATTTGGATTTGGCCAAAACGACAAATTTCAAGTCAAAAAAGGAAATAAATTGTAGGGGACAATCCCCACAACATTTTTTTAAAACCTATAGTTTTGCCTTAAAATTTTGGGGTTTACAGAAAGAGTACCTCTATGAATTAAAAAAAAAATAACTTACTTTTAGCGACAACTTTGACGCAGCTTTTTGGTACGAACCCTGCCAGAAGTGATCCGCCTTCGTTACAGTCCATGGTGCTGTATGTAAAGGAAATGAGGCCGTAGTTGCACCCAATGCTTTCTGATGAGTCGCATTTGTAGCATGTTAGGGCGCAGGCTAGAAAATAAAATATATGTATTAAATTGTTTTAAAAATTTAATAGATTAAAGATATAAACAAATTTGTAGAGATAAAAAAAATATACACAAATTTGCCATTAAGCTTTTTGGTCTATTATTAGTAGTTTAGTTTCTACCTTTGGTACACCAATACATTAGGGTGTAAATAAGTGAATAATATTTTCCTTTGTGATCAGTGATGAGCTAAATTGCGATATTTGCTGTTCGTAAAAATAGCAGTTTTCTATATTAGTCAACAGTTGCTAACTGCTATTTTTGAGTCTACTATTCTATAGCAGCTATTTAATTACAGTGAGCAATATTTTTCTTATCACTGTTGATCCCCAAGTAAAAAAAATTAAAGCCAACTTGTGAAATTCAGAAAAAAATTATCCTTCAATATTATTTAAATGGATGGATAAACATGTCCTACTAAAATATGTCTTCTATATTGTTGCATGTCTATTAATAAGCGAAATAGAAAAATATATATTTTTTAAATTGTAAACTGTAAACAAATAATTTAGATAATACCCAAGTAAAAAACAACAATTTGAGAAATACAGGAAATACACACACAAGTGAGACACTACTAATGTAGAGTATACATGTAATTAAAAAAAAAACATTTTAAAGTTTTTTTTGTAGCGTTGAGAGTTTTGAATATGAATTTATTCAATCTAAACGTCGCATCCTATGTAATTTCAATGTATTTTCATTATTGTACGGCGGTATAATATGTTATAAACTTGAAAAAAACTTCGTTATAAAACCATTTACCTAATAATAATACATGGGTAAGAATATAATATATTATTTGAGTGTAAATATATTGTATTTAATTTAGCTAATTTACTTAATAGGTGCTTGCAAATGAATGCAATTGTTGGAATTTTTAAAATATCCTTGGGTAAATTTTATGAAATTGGAGCAATTTAATTTTGTAAAAGTTGATAAATATTTGCAAAACGATTTTACAATATAGTTTACTGATGTTGAGTCATGCATTTATTAAGATGTTTACTTATATTACACATTTATTAACAATGCAACTAAATTAATACTTAACAAAATATTTGTATCAAGCAATTAATAAACATAGTTGTTTCTACATACTTGTTAAATTAATTATAATTAATTAATATATACAAGGTGTCCCTAAACTTGGTGGCATAAATTTAGGAGCAGATTAAGCAAGTCAAAATAAGACGAAAACCCAAATAAATATTTTTCCTAATTACTTAGGTTTCCAAGATACAGGGTGATAAAGTGTTACTTATCATATCAGTTTTTTTAATATAACCTCCACTATGGTGGTCTTGGAAAGGTGATATTTTGCGAACAGTCACTTACTACCAAAACACATATTCACACATAATTATAATTGTTTGAGTGAACACAGTGTCGTAGAAACGGGGGTTGCTTTAAGCTTATTGTCCCATACAAACTTTGAGGTTAGGTTTTTATAACATTTGATGCAATTTTTAGATTACCCAGTTCGGATACCATTAATAAGGTGTACCTCTCAAATTTCGATAAAATAAACCGTTTCCGAGATATTCGAGATTACAATAATTGTTACATCGCATTTTTTAAAAGGATTAAAAGGTATATGATAACAAATTTTATTTTTTAATTGAAAAAACTAAAAAGGGCATTCCATGAGTCTCGGGACATTTTGCCCTGACCGTCACATTAAAAAAAATTGTAGTTTTTTCAATTAAAAAATTTGTTATCATATAACTTTTAGTCCATTAATGCGATATAACAATTATTGTAATTTCGAATATCTCGGAAACGGTTTATTTTATCGAAGTTTGAGAGGTACACCTTTTTAATAGTAGCCGAACTGAGTAATCGAAAAATTGCATCAAATTGTATAAAAACCTAACCTCAAAGTTTGTATGGGACAATAAGCTTAAGCAACCCCTGTTTCTACGACACTTTGTTCACTCGAACAATTGTAATTATGTGTGAATATGTGTTTTGGTAGTAAGTGACTGTTCGCAAAATATCACCTTTCCAAGTCTACCACAGTAGAAGTTATATTAAAAAAAACTGATATTATAAGTAACACTTTATCACCCTGTATCTTTTAAACATACGTAATTAGGAAAAATATTTATTTAGATTTTCGTCTTATTTTGACTTGCTTAATCTGCTCCTAAATTTATGCCACTAAGTTTAGGGACACCTTGTATATTAACATGAACTTTTTTATAATAAATTATTATTTATTATTAAGGTGTACCTATCCCAAAGAACTTTTTAGTGGATGGAACGTATACCTACATGGAACTATAAAGTGTATTGCCAAAATCACTGCCGCGTCAAACTATGAAGTATATTCTGATGGTGAAAATATGCTTATATAATAATATTATGATATAATATTTAAACTGTATCGTAGTAGTTTTAGTTATTTTAACGTTATTGTCACTCAGTTGAAAGTGCGATATCAGTTTTCGTTACCATAATGTAGGGTTGCCATTCCCTTATTTGGATTTGAAGGTATAAATACCAGGACATTTTGGTTTAAAAACAGGACACAGTATTACAGTCGTTAATAGTAACTAATACGCAATAAGAACAGGTTCAATGAAATTTAACGCTTTAGAACTTGAGGACTACTAAACAATCCGTGGGTTATTACGATCCTAATTGTTTAAAATGTATTCAAAAATTCATTTAAATAAACTAACATTTAAATCTAGCGGGAAGCAGAAATGAATTTGACGTGCCGAACGCTTGGCGTAAAATAAAAGGACGGGCACTCCTGTTTTTAGGTGGGAAAAGTAAGGGGGAGAAGACGACATTCAAGACGGGCAGGGAAGAACGGAGATCATTCGAGCAGGATTGCCAGGTATGGCTAATTTTAGCCAAAGTGGCTACTTTTTAATGCAAATGGGTAAAAAAATATCAGTTTTGCGTATGGCTATAAAAGTTGGCTGAATTTCAAAAGTGTTTGGTGATTTTTTGGCTAATACAGGCAACAACTGCTAATACATGATAGATGCACTGTGTTGTCAACATTTGAGTTTTATTATTTATTAATACGAGTACTTCGTTCAAAACAAATACGCCCGTGTGGTCTAGCTTGCCTGCAAGTTTTCACAGGCATACTCATACCTTTTTCTATGGTACTAGTTCTCTAACCTTTATAATCTGTGGATCTTAGCTATTAATCTCTTCTTTTTTTATGTATTTAATGAAATATTTCAAACAAATAAGTATTAAATGTTATTAGGTAGATCTAAATATAAGTAATGCAGAATCAGATGATTACTTAACAGGAAGTATAAATATTATTTGGTGATAATTTTACACTTTCTTGTATTTCAGAAAATTAGTTTTTGTTTTTATGTAACCTCGCAAGAAAAACCAATTTTCTGAAATACATGTGACTCAAGTCTAATAATTTATTAAGTAAATTTATTTTATAGAATAGGTATTTTGTTTTATTTACCTTATTATTTATACATTTTTTTTGTTAATTTGATATTTTTGTTTTTAACAGTTGGCTATTTCATGGCTATTTTATTCAGTCCAACTGGCTAAATTGTATTTTACATACCTGGCAAAGGGTTGCCAGGGGCATTCGACAAGAAGCGGGGCAATCAAAAACATGTGTAGCAAACAACTAATAAAAAGGGTGTGAAGTGGCTTAAATTTGTAGGTTGGTACATTTTAATAACTAAATTATTGTTGTATAAATAGTCCCGAACAATTTGGTATAATTAGTTTACCCAAATCCCGTGTAAGAATTTTTAATACTTTGTGATAATTATAGTAATAAAAAATTAGGACAAAATATGTTTTTAACATAATCAAAATCAAAAATATTTATTGGAATGGTTACTTTATTTTCGTATTTTTTTAGACACTCATTTAATTCTAGTCACGCATTTAATTAAACACTCGCTCGCATGCTCGCTTGTGCCTAAGTAAAATTCGTGAGTAAAATGGCGTTTATTTAACTTGATACAAAATATACTATTACAGAGCATTTTAAAGTTTTTGGCCAATTTAAATTATTTTTTGGAAGAAAATATGCTACCATTGAGTAAACACTTTACTCAATGATGCTACATTTAATGTAATACCATTGAGTAATACCATTGAGTAATACCTAATACCAATGGTAATACCTAGTGGCACAATAAGTAAAAATAGCTAAGAACGTTTAATCTTTAAAAGGCTCTGTAAAATTGTTTAATATGAGATATGCCCTTTTGTGATTTTTTTGGACGATTGGGACGACACAGATACAAACTTGAAAAAAATGTGCTACTAGGTATTACATTATTATTTTAAATTAGCTTAAAACTTTTTTTTTTAAAATGCTCTGTAAAATTGTTAAATGCCCTTATATCCTTATGCGATAATTGGGACGATATGATGTATAAAAGGGTGTTTTAAAAAAAATCCTATATTTGAAGAATTTCTTTTTATATTTTCTGCTCTTTAACCCAGTCAAATTAGGGTTTTACTTTGGAAATACACCAAGTAATATTTTATTTTCTGAATTTGTTTAGGATAACAAAAGGATCTCAAAAGTCCCAAGCGAAATCGTGCAGCGGCGTTGCCAAATACGAAGGTCAAAAGTGACGAAAACGTTTTTCTTGATTATCTCGTAAACTTGATTTTACGACGTAAAATTTACGTACATTTTAGTAATAATGTTCTCCGGTAATTTTGCATAAAAAGCGTCCTATATATGGGGCATTCCACGCCAAATCGGATGGTTTCAAAAAAATTTTTTTTTGATTTCTCCAATTTTTTTATATTTTTTAGTACTCCTTGAAAAAGCTTTCTCAGTAAAATTTGAGATTTTTTTGATCACGGATTCAAAATATATAAAATCTTCAAATAACTGCTTTTTTTTTGTTTTTCGCTCATAACTTCTTAAAAAATGGTCCAAATCAAAATGTTCATTCTATATAAAATTTTCGTTTTTAAATGTACTTTTCGAAAAAAAATATATTGAAAATATTTGTAGCGTTTTAAGTCAAGATTTTTGAGTTCTATTTAGCCTGGTCCGGTAGTGGGCCTTCCATAATTACTATTTTTTTTCGAAACTTATAATAATTTTAGAGAATTTTTTTTTAATTTTGAAAAATCGAAAAAAAAAGTAATTATGGAAGGCCCACTACCGGACCAGGCTGAATAGTTGTTGATTAGATAGAAGTTGAAAATAAAAAATTTTCGCGAAAATCGAAGAAGACACATTTTTAAACACACGATTTAAACTTTAAAACTCAAAAATCTTGACTTAAAACGTTTCAAATATTTTCAATAATTTTTTTTTCGAAAAGTACATTTAAAAATGAAAAAAGTTATGAGCGAAAAACAAAAAAAAGCAGTTTTTTGAAAATTTGATATCTTTTGAACCCGTGATCAAAAAAATCTCAAAATTTACTACTAAAAAATATAAAAAAATTGGAGGGATAAAAATTTTTTTTTTAAACCATCCGATTTGGCGTGGAATGCCCCATATGTATATGAGTAATTTTACGTAGGACTCGAAATAATCTCGAAATAATTGGCAACGCTCCGCGGTGACTTGATTTTAATTGAGACTTTTAAGAAATTATTACCAGAGCCCATATAAACAAGATTCTAAAAAAAATCCTACCTGGGATTATTTCCGAACTAAAACCCTAATTTGACTGGGCTAAATGGTAAATAGTAAATCCTATTTATAATATTGTATACATACAAAACAATTTGTAACATTTAAATTACATGATTGTATTTATTATTATATTCAGCACCGGACTTAGGGGGGTAGCGGCGGCTAATTTTGAAAGGCGGTAATTAAAAAAATAGCAGAAATAAAAAATAGGTGTGAAATAATTATTTATAATTTATTTGTTCCTTTTCTTAAATTAAAAAAGTTACTAAAAAGTTAAAAGTTATTAAAAGTTGGGTTTTAAAATATTTTTTTTTAAATGTTTTCCTGATTTTATAAATATTTTAAATGTGTTAATGTTAATGTGTTAATTTTAATGTTTTAAAAATGTTTTCCTGACATTATTTGTTATGTTTAGAATTGTTGCTTAATTTATTAGTTTATGTTCCTATTTTATTCGCTTTTATGATTTATTAATTTGAAAAAAAAAATGTGTTTAAAAAACCGATTATGTGTTTTTATTGTAATAGGTAAGTAGGTAGGTATATTTCAAACTTTAATAAACATGTCATTTTTAAGCAAACTCCCAGTGGTGACACATTTTCCTGGCCCAAATTGCATGAATAATTAGGTATAGGGAACAACATTTTTTAGAGGGCTGAAAAACATTCTCACAAGAGTGGTTATTAATATTTAAGTAAATAATAATTAATATTAATTATAATTATATTATAATAAATTATATAATATAATACCAGGAAAAATAAAATAAATACCTATCTATCCAGTTAAAACACAGGTGTGTGAGTTAAAAACTCCGCATGATTTTCTTAGATTTTTTGTTAGCTGAAAGTTATTTTATAATAAAAAAATAGTTTTTAGGAAAAATATTATTGTCCTTAATTTATTTGGTTATGAAAATCAATTTTGACATTTAAAATCTGCTTTGCTTACAAATCATTAAATTTACAGTTTAGTTCAAAAATCAAAGTACCCAAATATAGGTACTTTGATTCGACATTCATGTTTATATGCAACGAATCTCGATTTAATCAAAACAAAAACAAACAAAAAACAATCAGTTATCCTTTTATCCCCAGGACCCCATCCAGCAATCTATCGATCCTTACCTGCGTTCACAGCGAAAATTAGGCCAACAACCAATTTGCATAAACCCATATTGAACTTAATTTTTAACTGAACCTCTTAATCGACACTAAAAAACACGATTCAAACAATGTCCACTTTAGTTTGGTTTATTTTAGTTTGCTTCTTTATACTGTGCTAAAGCTTTCCAAAGGTTCAACAAGAAATGCCCAGACAAAGAAGAAACGTTGTTCTCTGTCGCGGCGGGTGAATGGCGGGAGTAACAGCCCACCAGCGTTGCCGGTTCGCCGCCGCGAGTTCAAGAACGAGGCCGCATGATTCATTGAGGTGCGGCAACGTCGCCGGCCGTAGTGCCGCCTTGGTCGTCCTTTTTGGGGCGCTGTCCATTCGCGAAATTTATTTATTTCTCTATTTTGGTCCATGTTTATGGGGCTCTGTAGCCAAGGTCTATTTCAAACATGTACGATTTTTTCAATTAAGGAGAATGGTTTATGTATAAATTTTAATATTGTTTCTTCTTTTTTTATAGTAAAATATAAGATATAAGGTGAAGTGGGGTAAATGCACCCACCCAAGTGCAAAATACAAATTGAATAGTTAATAAAATTATTTAGAACAATGGTAAGAGTCCAGTCTTCGGCATATAAACAACTCCCTTAGTGGTGTATCTCATGGCAGATCTAAACTCTGCGTTAAAGGTAATACGCCACCACAGCTATTTTTTTTGTAAAAATATATACATGTGGGTGCACTTGCCCCATATTTGGGGCAAGTGCACCACCACCGGTTAGTTCCCATATTATAAGTACGAACGTATACACGGGGCAAGTGCAACAAACTCACAGTTTTGTAAATTTTTTTGCAATTTACCGCAATTAAATTGACTTATTGGTTATAAAGTTATTACATTTAACTCGAATATTTAGGGAAATTAGCTGGCAAAAAAAATCCATGATTACAAACTGATACTTTTTATTCTCAACTGTTTATAAAATAATCAAACAAAAATACTAGGTATTGAAAAACAAAGATACGTAAACTTCATACAGTAAATCTAATTGATATTATAATGCGAAAAACTGATGTCAAACTTCATTTCGCCTCTTCTTCCTATGGTACCTATGAAAAAAAATGTGCTGAGAAACAAGAACATACGTAACTGCGTAGGCCAAAACTAACTCCGTGGAAAGTGGGTGCACTTTCCCCCATGAAGGTAGGTGCACTTGCCCAATAAGAGAAAATTTTGGGGCAAGAGCACCTACCCCTTCAAAGTTAGCTTATTTTACAATAAAGGTAATTTTGCATACTAGTTTACTTAAAACACATATAAACTTTCAAAATAAATATCTAGTAGCTTTACACATACCTTAGCTCCAGTAATAAATGTTTTTTTTCACAGAACTGCGCATTTAACACGCGAGTAAAAACGACAACACTCAATAAAGTCGCCATTCTTTGATAACCAATTTGATTTCGTTAAAGAAGGGATGTGTATTTTAGTGGAAAAGAGTCATGCTCTCGCATTTACCAGAGGGTGGGACCGCAGGTTGAATAGTTTTTTTTTAAAACCCAATTGGTGCACTTACCCCACTTCACCCTAACATATTAAACTCATAATATTTGCAACCACCTGGTTTTACGACCACCCTTTTATATTTTCCAATATTTCTGACATGCTACTATTATATTAATTAATTAATATTATTATAAATATATTTACCTAAATAAATATACCTATAGGTATTTCCAAGACAATAAATGCAATTTGATTTAAGTGGTTACTTTGTAACATTTTATTTTACCAGGGACGTAGCGAACCTTCAAGGTTTCAATCATGGGGTGAGTTTTAATAAAAAAGCTGCCTTTTTTGAAGATTTTGCCGACTGCAGGAATTTTTTATAGGTGTAAGATTAAGAAAAAATTAAACTTGGTGCAAATAAGTTTTTGAGTCGGCATGCGGCCACTTAAACTTTCAAAAACGTCAAATATCTACAAAATTCACAGAAAAATGAGGATCCGAATTCACTCGCATATTTAACTAAATTATTATCGGAAAATGTCGAATTTTTTTAAAGGTTTTTTTTTTAATTAAAATAATTTTAAGTTTAAAAAAAATCAATTTTTCCCAAAAAAGGTTTTTTTCCCAATTTTTCCGACCCCCACCCCTATCGCTACGTCCCACTATGGTTGAAAGTGTCCAAAAAAAGACCTCAAAGTTGATCGTCCGTAAATGGTCCCAAATTGGTTAATCACATTTTTAAATACCTATGCATTCATGGACTAAACCCCTTTTAATTTTAGTCTTTAAAATTAAAATAAAAAATTTATTTTGACATACAACTAAACCTACAATATTTTTTGTATAGTTTTCCTAAACAGAGTGCCAAAAAAAGTCAACCAAGTGTCGTTTCGGGAATGTTACCACCTTAAAGTATACTTAATAAGGAGTCGTCACCATAAGTTTGATCCCAGCCCAAGGGCGACTATGATGGGGGTATTTTAAAAATTGTTCATCAAAAATTATTTAAGAATTCGCTACCTACATACAAACAATAAATGTTTCTTTTTTCATATTACTTCAAAAAACTAAAACCATAACTAATTTATTGTTCATCAAAAATTATTTAAGAATCCGCTACCTACATATTTGTATCCAAACAATAAATGTTTCTTTTTTCAAATTATTTCAAAAAAAAAAAAATTTATTGTTGATTGTTTTGACCTTTACTTGATGTAACTCCATATTATTAATATATGAATAAAACAACACAGGTTTAAAGTTTCACTATTTTATTTATTATTAATATTAACTAAACTTACACAATTTTGGAAATACGAGGGATTTGGAAAGTCCTATCTAATATAATTTTACAATATTAATAAATATTATTTTTATTACTACGGGTATACATTTTAAAATAAATTTAGCAAAGGAGAGTTGTTGGTTTCAATTTGGCCATTAAGAACAATATCCGATTTTTTCTTTGGTTTATTAATTTCCAAAGACAAGTAAGATTCTAAAGTTACCGTCAAGTTTGTGGTTCTATTGTATTAAATGGTTAAGCATATGAAGAGTCCTGTTTAAGGTTTATATAAGATTTCTTATGTTCTTTAATTCGTGTATTAAAGTTTCGTCCAGTTTGGCATATATGTATATGTTTTCGGACAGTATCTGGAAGTTAGTTGGTAAACGCCGGGTTTTGAGGATTTTGTTTTATCTTTGTTCTTTTTGATAAACTTACCAAGGTTGTTGTTAGTTTTAGATGCAACATTACTCTTGATTTTATTAAAAAAACATAAATAAAATAGTGAAACTTTAAAACTCTGTTATTATTGCATAGGTAATTTTTGAAAGGATTAGTTACACAAATATTATTTTACAACCTAAAACCTTATAACATGCATTGAATTTTTTAATCATTCCTACTTCATAAAGGATGATCAGGAATTGAAAGAAAGATATCCAGATGTGAGGAGGACAAATTAATTGAGTTAGTAAGGTTGGTAAAGTTTTTAAAACGATGTGAAGACTGATTGAAGGGTGAATTTATTTTTGAACGTGATGTTGAAGGCAGATCTTGCAAACAATTTTCCGAATGTCCTAAGAGTGCAAAATATTCTAAAGTTGCTCCTAAGAACTCATCGACGCAGCAGCTGCTGCTTCGTCATTGCGTGAAAATAAAAAAAGATTCAAGTTATGGATGCTGATATGATACCAATATAAAGTCATTGGGAAGATGATAAAAAAGGCAACACTATATTTCAATAATACTGGAAGCTAAGAAGAAATGTCATCCGAAGAACACAATTTAAGAAAAAAATACTTCCACTCAGTGCTGAAGCTTTTGAGTTAGTGTTATGACTCTTTTACACGTGTAGAGGTAATAAATAGGTTGACACCCCCCTTTTTAATTTACTTTTTCTTTTATTTATAAATAAAATGTGTGATTTAAAATGCTATTCGGTTTTAGTGAGTTCTTTTAAATATTTTTTTTGCATCATAAAGACTAAACGGCGACTCATTTCATTAATTATTTACGATAATCTTGTGTACTAGAAATCTCAAAATTAGTTAAAATTATGTTAAGAAAATATTGATGATATCAGGTCCATTGGATTTACCCCGATTTACATACAGTTTCATGAAAATTGCAGCCAATTTGAACCATTTAGAGGTTTTTGGACAAAAACAGCTCTTTTCTACCACTGTGTACCTATACCTAAATCACAAATGTCGACAAATTGTATTTACTTTCTACCACAATATTGTCGAAGTTTAATCAGAATCGTACAGTTTGTCCTAAATTCTCAGCAAATCGTTCAATAAATTTCAGACAAGACGGCGCCAAAACAGCTCTTTATTTTCCCTTTATTTAAAACATCTTTACCCCGACGGGGATTTTTATGACTTTGCATAGTTGGCGTTGCCTTTTCAAAAGGACGTGATGGTCCCATTTCATACAAAACAATATTCGAAAAAATAACGAACTTATATGGAGCGGACGCGATATTTTAGAGTTTCGATTCTCAATATTTTGTATCGATATTTTTACAATTATTACCAAATAAGTACACAATAAAACTTGTATATTTATTTCACTTTAAGTTAAGAAAATATAAGGGTAAGCAATTTAACAAAAATTTTAAAATGTAACTAGTTCAAAAGTCAAATTATTATATACCTACCTAAATACAAAAATAAAGCTAAAATGTCATCATGTCAGTTAAACCTAACATAAAAATTATGTGACAGAAACCTAAAGAAATATTCTAGAAACAAAAATGGCGAAAGCTTATTAATTTCCTCGCACACAATCTAGTGCCTGTATTCTCGGCTATAATATGAGCTTTCTTTGCCTGGTCAATAATCAACCATTGTTTATTGTTTATTAAGATTGATAGATCTTTTCATGCAACAATTTCAAATTTAATAATTTATTCTAAAAATATAAAACTAGTTACAAGGACTTATTACACGCACTACTGACCATGGCCATGCCTGAACCATGACGTAATTAAGATCATGGAGTTCATATTTATTAAGGTACCTTCAGAAAAATTCCACAAATCTGTAATTGTAAACAAGGGATGATGGCATCACCGTGATGCATAATAAAACATAATATATTATACAAATATAGGGTGTAAGCTCTCCAGTATGTTTTGGGTCACGATTAAGGGAGTCCCGGAAGTAGATGAGAGGCAAAGTTAAGAAAATTTTTAAATTCTACGTTAGTTAG